GTTCATATTGAGGACCTTTGAAATGATTAGTTTTGCACTCTGCTGCTTATATTACTAGTGAAGTGAATATACTTGATCTGAAGAGGGTAAAAGCCCTATTATTTTGGCACAGAATGTTATAATTTCCAATCAACAAACATTTATTGAATGTCTTTTATGTCTTAGGTCCTAGGTGCTAGGGATATAAAAGATGACTAAAGATTCCAAGTGCTGTAGGTGTTGCCTGGGGCTGCAATATCCAATAGTTAGGGAGAGGGCTGGGTGGAGAGGGTAAGATTTGATCTGGCCCTTAAAGGATGAACAGGTGATGGTGGGGAAGAACATGTCAGGTTAAGGGGATGGGATTATTTAAAGCACAGCATCCAGTTCAAGGCTCGATAAGCTCGTAGGACACTAAAGAGGTCGCTTGCCCATGTGATGAGAGTAGTGGGACATAGATGAAGCCGGTTTAGGGAAGGTCTTGAAAGCTTGAATGATAAATTTAGACTTAACGTAGTAGGGAAAAGGGAACTATTAAAGTTTTTGAACGGAGTTGTGGAATGATGAAAATAATATTTAAGGGTGATTGCTAGGAGATGGGTTGGGTGGCAGGTTTAATAGGTGAAGAGAATTAAGAGGTATAGACTTCCATTTATAAAATAAATAAGCCATAGAGGTTTAATGTATAGTATATGGAATATAGTCAGTAATATTATAACTGTATAGTGACAGATGATAACTAGACTTATTGTGGTGACTATTTTGTAATGTATACAAATAGATATATTTTTTCCTTTATTGATTTTAGAGAGAGGGGAAATGAGAGGGAGAGAGAGATACATCGATGAAAGAGGACATCGATTGGCCACCTCCTGCATGCCCCCCACTGGGGATCGGGCCCACACCTGGACATGTGTCCTAACTGGGATCAAACTGGCAACCTCTTGGTGCATGGGTCAATGCCCAACACTGAGCCACACTGGCCAAACTGTATACAAATATTAAATCATTGTGATGTATACCTGAAACTAATAGGATATAGTATCCCAATTATAAAGTATTTTTCTTAAAAGGATAATTGCTGAACTATTAGTATGTAGAGTGGGATGGAGAGTAGAGAAACCATAATTAAGGAGGTTGAGGCACTTATAGTACTCTAGAAATGAAGTATTGAGAGTGTTTTTATTTTTATTTTATTGATTTTACAGAGAGAAGAAGGAAGAGGGAGAGAGAGAGAGAGCGAAACATTGATGTTAGAGGGAAACACGCTCTGACCAGGGACTGAACCTGTAATCTGGGTATGTGCCCTGATGGGGAATTGAACAACGATCCTTGGGTGCATGGGAGGATGCTCCAGCCAACTAAGCCACACTGGCCAGGGTGAAATAATGAGTCTTAAAAAGTTAGCAATAGGCCCTGGCCGGTTTGGCTCAGTGGTTGGAGCGTTGGCCCTTGGAGCAAAGAGTCATGTGTTCAATTCCAGTCAAGGGTGCGTTCCTTGGTTTCGGTTTGATTCCCGGCCCTGGTTGGGGTCCTGCGGAGGGCAACCAATCATTTCTCTCATCGATTTCCCTCTCTCTCTCTCCTTCCATTCTTCCCTCCCTCTCTATGTATCTGAAAAGCAATGGAAAAATATCCTCGGGTGAGGATTAAAAAAAAAAAAGTTAAGCAACAGTGAAGGACTGTTCTATAAACATTTGAAAGGTGAGTTACAGATTAGGTTTTTGGATTACTATACCCATGTGCTTCATTCAGCCATGCTATCTGTGGTTTCTGTTATTTAGGACAATCGAAGAATTGATGTTATTAGCATGCTTAAGGTTCTTTTTTAAAATAACAGGTTTTTTGAGATAAAATTCACGTACCATACAATTCATGTAAAGTTTTAATGTTATTGGAATTTGTAAATAAAGTTCACGGTTTTCAGAGATATGAGTAACATTAAAATTGTTTACATGTATGGGCCATTATTTGAGAGTATGAAGGTATACATGGTAGATAAATTGGTCAGTAAGGAGGGAATGAAACAGGAAAGAAAACCCTTGTGTATTGTAGAAGGAACCTGAGACTGGAAGGTAAGAAGCCCTGCTTGGAGAGTATATCCTTGATTCTCTCTTAACAGCTGTGTGACTTTGAGCTAAAGCTCAGTGAGTCTAGTCTGTCTTCCTTTCTGAAAATCAGAAACACCGATTGCATAGACTTGTTGAGAAGACTCAGGTGATACATATGAAAAGACCAGACACAGTGCCTGACACGTATGATCATATTAGTAATGTAATAATAGTAATAATAATAACATGTATAATATTAAAGGAAAAAAGAAAAAACAAGTCCACAAATAAGCTTTGTAGGTTCTCTGAGACAGTTTATTTCATAAAGTTGTTCATGATCAAAGACAAAATGTGAGTGATAGGAATATATTACTTGTAAAATTCTTGGTAAGCTGAGTTATTTCTTCATTATGGCAGGTGACAGATTAACTCTTTAACTTTTTTGTTCTATTGCTAAATATCTGCTCAGGCACATTGTGCAAATAAACTCTTGCATTAAGAAGCCCACCCCCGCCCCAGCTACCTTGGTGAAGTTTTGAATATGTGGGAGGGATACTAAAAACAGTATGTGGATAGGTTTATTATGTAACTGAAGGTGGTGTGATTAAGCTTTCCAGAGACACCATGGTTAGTGAGCAGACAGCCATGGCCTTCAACTGTGGGTCAAGGCTGTTGCTATCGTGTGATTTTAGGTACACAGAAGGGTCAGATAATTTAAGCTCTGATCACAGATTTACTTTAACACGGGATTGTTTATTTCAGACCAGGTAGTTTTATTATTTTCTGAAGAGATGTCCAACATTTTATCTGAAATTTTTATAAACATGAGGCATTGCTTATATCATTCTGCTGATGGCGTAGACATGTGAAAGGGAACATTGTCCCTTGCTTTAGCTAAAAATCTTGGGGTATTTGTACCCCTCTAATATGTTCATTATTATCTACTATATTGCTTTTTCTTAGAATTGAGAAATAGGAAAGAAGCTAGTTCTTTTCTTGTTTTATCTTCTCATACTTTTTTATTCCTTGATATGATTAATGAATGAGAGCAAGATAAGTTTTTTTTCTTTCCTCATAAGAGAATGAAACTGTTAAAAAGAAGTCTATAATATAGCTAGCATAATAAAAGTAGAAATATAATGAATTTCAATAAAAGAGTGCAACTTCTTGAAATTAATAAACTGGAAAGTTCTCGGTCTTAAAATAATTTGTTTATTATTATTCAATTTTTGTTAAGTTAAAACTATAATTTTTCAATACCGGGTCATGAATAAATATTTATATTACCATTATAAGGTTAAGGAAAATATTTATGGTAATAATAGTTTTAAAATAAAAATTCTAACCTAAAATTGTATTAGTTGGAGATTGGATCTTCTTGTGAAAAAGGGTTCTGTGACATGATTGGGTCTTAAAACCTGTTAATTCCCAAGGTTAGAATTTTTGCTTTATTATTCCATGTTTTATCTTTTATACACCAACCTTTGTTATTTTGTGTTTGTGTTTTTTTGTGTGTGTGTTTTATTTTTGCAGTGTAGAGAGCATAGTCTTTAAAAGAACATGAGTTCTTGAGTCAGACTGCCTGGGTTTAAATCCTCATTTACCTTCCCTGTGTGTTAGTTTTCTCATTTGTAAAATGGTGACATTACTAGTATTTACATCTAAGGCCTTTGTGATGCTCAAATAAGATAATGCTTAAAGCCCTGGCTGGTTTGGCTCAGTGGTTAGTGTGTTGGCCCGCGGACCAGAAAGTCCTGGGTTCGGTTCCTGCTAAGGGCATGTGCCTTGGTTTCATTTTGTCCCCGGTCCTGGTTGGGGTCGTGTGGGTAGCAACCACTCAATGTGTCTCTTTCACGTCGATGTTTCTCTCCCTCTCTTCCTCCCTCTCTCTTTCCCACTCTATCTGAAGATAAATGCAAAAATGTCCTTGAGTGTGGATTAAAAAAAAAAAAGATAATGCTTAAAAAGCACTTAAAATAGGGTCTGGCACATAGTATATGCTCAATAAGTATTAATTATTGTTCTTATGTTTTGATTCTATTGTATACCTACATCTGCCCTTAAAGACTACGTTGAAGAAATTTTGCTTTTGCTTAAGTACTTAGGTCTCTCTTGGTTATGTAACAGTACTTTAGAAATGTATAAATTGTATTTGACTCACTTATGTTATGTGCACTATTATGGGGACTGCTTAGTTACATGTGGCTATTGAGCACTTGAAATGTGATTAAACGGAATTGAAGTGTTTTTAGTGTAAAATACAGATTTCAAGGGCATAGTACAAAAAAGGGTAAATTAGCTTTTTTGGGGGTATTGATTACATGTTGAAATAATAATAATTTGGATATATTGGGTTAAATAAAGTATATTAAAATTAATTTCACCTTTTTAAAAACTTTAATGTGAAAATTTAAGAGAAAATTTAAAATTACATATGTGGCTTGCATTTTATTTGTATTACACAGTGTTTTATAAACAATGAGAAACATATAAAGGAAATAACCTTAATTTAGAAAATAACCTTGTTTGAGTGCTTTTGTTTATATTATTATATAGTTCTTTTTTAAAAATTTTTTTAAATTTTTTTATTAATTAATTTTTGTTACAGATGTTTCTCCTTTTCCCCCCACTGATTCCCCCCTCCCCCTCCTTCCCTGCCCTTTCCCCAGTTTGTTGTCCATGTCCACTGTTCATGCATACATGCATATAAGTTCTGTGGTTTATCTCTCCCCCACCACCCTATTATTATACAGTTCTTTAGACCATATTATTATACAGATCTTTAGGCTTACCATTTAGCTCCATGACATATTTTTTGATAAAATCAATCTTGTTTGATAAAATCAATTTTGTACTATTTATTGATTTTTAACTACATTAATCTCCCAAATTACAGGAAAAGGAAAAAACTGCTGATAAATATCTTCATAGCTAACCATTGACTCCAGTAAAATGTTCTTGTAGGTTGGTAAAAACTGAATACTTGTACTGGGTAAATATATTTACTTTTAGCTGTTTAATGAAGTGAGAGACCTTGAGTTTGTTTGGCAGAGATGACCTTTTACTATCCAGTTTCATCAGGGGCTGGCGTTTGGTTGAAAATGGTGGAGGGTTTTCCCTGTGTTGAGAATTGTTTATGACTGATAATCTTAATTGAGCACATAAGTCCAGAGGCAGTTAGTGCTCTTGATGTTAAATGGGAAAAAACTGGAAATGGGTTCTCTAGATTAACATGTGACATGAGTGACCTGTGACCTGGGAAAATAGTAGTAGAAATTATTACTGGGGATGTGTGCGTAGCATTCTTTTTCCTAATTTTTAAAGACATAGTTTTGTGTACAGACAAATAGGAATAGATTCTGTATAGGATAGAGAATTTTTCTTAGATGTTTTCAGGGAAACCTGAAGTGGTTGAGAGAAAAATTTCCTTGAAGTTACAGGAAACTAACCACTGTGTATTTTATTTTTTTGACTGTACTTGTTCAAAAATTAATACTGATTTGTGGGCTAAAACTCTGTAGAAAAGAAACTAGTTTAGCATTTTTGAGGATGAGTAAAATCTTTAGATTAATATTATTTTAAATTACCTAAGTAACACATTACTAGAGTAAAAAAAGGCAATGTTCAGGCTAAGGTTGCACAAGACTTTTTTTATGGAAGAACCCAGTAGTTCTTTGATGTCCCTTATCCGCTTATGTTTTCATATCATATGACTTCATATCTTCTGCAAATTTGATAAACCTGTCTTTGTGTTTCTTTCTGAATCACTAGTAAAATTGTTTAATATTAAGGGACAAATGAACCTTCACACAAGTTGACAAAATTGAGGTGATTCATTATCAGTACTCAGAGTATAGCTGTCCAGTTTCCTATGAATAGTTGTTCAGTTACTACAATAAGTCTTGGTAACCACTGTTATTTGTCGTGTATTTCTCAATCTTGCCATAAATCAGTGCTTCTCAGTCAAGGGTGATTTTGCCTCCCAGGGGACCTTTAGCAGTATCTGGAGACATTTTTGGTCATCACAGCTATTGGGTACTGTGGCATCTAGTAGGTGACATGAATACTAGAACAAGAGATACCTGGACATCCACCAAATTGTCTTCTGATAGGCTATGCAGGTTTTCTAACCTTTGCATTATTGACATTTTGAGCCGAATAATTGTGGGGAGCTCACCCCAGTATTGAAGTATAGGAGATCCGATTCATCACAAAAATGGTGCAGAGATGGTATGTTTTGTTTTATTTCCATCCAGTTAATTAACAGATATTTATTGAAGATTTGGCACATGTATGAATTTTTCTCTACTTCCACAACCAAAATGACAGTTTAGGTTTTTTTTGACTCAGAGTATTGAAAAGGAACTTTGTAGAAAAAGGTTCAGATTCCCTTTTTAGTTTTTGACTTGTTGCTAAATAAATTATTTTTAATTTTTGTAACCAGATCTCTCTGGCATGGTCTCTTATTTTGTGTGTGTGTGTGTGTGTTCCTGACTGAAGGAAAGAAAATCAGAATCCCAAACTCTTCTCCAGAATTAGATTTTTTTCCCTTGGCTTGTAAGTAAATTTTTATTGGATCTGCACATTATATTCTCTCCTTTATTTGTTATCTTTTTAAATAGATGAACGCATCTAACTCAGAGAGGCAAAGCAATCTTTTCTCCCAGGCAATTCCTCTGCTGTATGTTGGATAATGCTAGTTCTACTTGATGATTGTTACCACATTTGCAGTTATGTTGTATATAAATAAAAATAAATGGTGTTTTTATAAGGAGACAGATAGCCTAGAGGGAGATTCCAAGTGTTCAATTGCCCATGATTTTCAACTAGATGTCAGAAATTTGACTTAGATTTATTTTTTATTGTTTTATTGCAAGTTTCTGGGGAGAGGAGAACACACATTTTGCCTTTGGCTTCTGACAAGGTAGGAACAAATTTAGGCTCATTAGAAAATAAGAACAAATGTTAAAAAGAAAGATAACTATAACTTTATTTGAGACATTAATCTGTACACATTGTGTAGGATTGTAAAATATTTATTTTACATGAGGATGGTCACAGAAACACCTGCTAAATGACTGCCTTTTGCAAGCAGCTAATTGCATTATTCTAATCCTTGGCCTCTTTTGCCTTCTTTCTCCAAAATGTATTGGTGTAGCCTTTTCAATATGAAGGACCTAATTAGTTTTAAGACAACTAGTTTAGAAGCAATACTATAGTAACAGAAGAACTGCTGCTTTTTGGGGGGTTTTCTAGTTTTATCAAGGCAAGATGACAGAATGCTTTCAGATAAGCCTGTGATTTTAGAGAGCAGTCAAGGGTGATTTTGCCTCCCAGGGGATCTTTAGCAGTATAGATAATAATCTTTATAGATTTTTTTCTTTATTGATTTTAGAGAGAGAGAAAGGGAGAGATAGAGAGAGATGGAAACATTGATGAGAAAGAACACTGATTGGCTGCCTCCTGCATGCCCTCCCTCCCCCCCAGGGATTAAGCCCACAACCTGAGGATGGTTACCTCCTGGTACATGGGTTGCTGCTCAACCACTGAGCCACACTGGCTGGGCCATATTTCTTTTTCTATGTTCACTTAATGAAATCTGTATTTATAAGAAATATCTATGCTTAGGGTCATGGATTTACTTTTTTTCATCTTAGCCACAACTGTAAGGAGTATGGGGAAATGCACAAATCGTGGGGTACTAAGTCAGTGTCAAATCCAGCAAGTCAGTTTTTTTTTTCTTTTCATAACTACTTCAGTAGAATTGCTACTATTTTCCAAGGGGCCTGGAAAGCTATTTATTTTGTGGTTAGCAGAGAAAAGGGGGCCATGTATGTAATTTTTGCTTAGTACAATAAAAGTACATGCTTGAAATTACATGCAGAACACTTCCATATTTTTTCCTTGAAAATCCATGTTTAATTATATTTTCACTCAGAAATTACAAAAATGTGAATAAAATTATGTATGTATTTAGGTATCATTATTTTCTGGATTTATAGCTTGAAGACATTGTTAAGTTTAAATCCATGTATCAAAGCCAAAAATTTAGGGCTTTATTACCCTCCGCTATTTTAAAGAGATCTCTATTAGAGAAGGCTCATGAAAAGAAGCTCCCCTTTTAGGCGTGACATTTATACCTGAAATGTTAAGGCTAATCTAAAAGAACAAAGTGATGCGTTTTTTTGTCTGTTTGTTTTTGCCAGCTTAATTTTGCTGTTTTCGTTAGTTTTTTTTAAGCTTTGAAATTTGGACTTAATTTTTTTTTTTAATCCTCACCCGAGGACATTTTCGCTTTTATCTTCAGATAGAGGGGGAAGGAGAGAAGGAGGACGAGAGAGAGAGAGAGAGAGAGAGAGAGAGAGAGAGAGAGAGAGAGAGAGAGAGAAACATACATCAATGTGAGAGAGACACATTGACTGGTTGCCACTCACATGACCCCAACCAGGGCTGGGAATGAACTGCAACCAAGGTACGTGCCCTTAGCGGGAACCAAACCTGGGACTCTGGTCCACGGGCCAACATTTTAACCACTGAGCCAAACTGGCCAGGGCTGGGCTTAATTTCTAATGATTGCATGGATCCTTTATATGGCTAGACCACAATTTATGTAGCATTTCCCTGGTTTTGATTATTTCAGTTGCTTAAATTTTTCATGTTCTTAATAGTGTGATGAATATATTTGTATATAAATATTTGTTAGCACCTCTGCTTATCTCCAAGAATTACTGTGCTAAAGGTTATGAACTTCTTTAAGGAAAGTGAAAAAACGGGGGTCCATGTATTGACTATGAGGTAGAACTAGTTGACTAAACATATGCATTATAAAGAATGTGGCATGGGCCCTGGCCGGTTTGGCTCAGCGGTTAGAGCGTCGGCCTGCGGTCCTGTGAGACCTGGGTTCGGTTCCCGCTAAGGGCATGTACCTCGGTTGCAGTTTGTCCCCGGCCCTGGTCGGTTGTGCAGGTGGCAGCCACTCGATGTGTTCCTTTCACATCGATGTTTCTCTCTCTCTCTCTCTCTTCCTCTCTCTCCCTCCCACTCTACCTGAACAAAAAATGGAAAAATGTCCTCGGGTGAGGATAAAAAAAAAAAAAAAGAATGTGGCATGTAGCTTAATGCTCACTAATGATAACTATTAATAATAATTAGATAAAAAGGTATCATGCAGTCTCTGGTTCTAATGACAGAATAAGCAGAGATGCTGGTAAATAATGAAAGCAGTAAGCAAAGAAAAGTGAGGAGGAGGGAGAAACCAAAGCCATGCTTTTTCTGTCTCAGAAATCTAAGGGGTTAGGGAGTTTCTAGGCGATGGTCAGTTTGTTGTAAAATATTAGATGGAAAACAAAACAAAACAAAATATTAGATGGAGGTTAAAAAGAAAAAGTGTGATATTAAGCTTTGAAATTTGGATATAGAAAGATAGGATGGAAAATCACCTATAATCTTCTATTCAGATATAAAAATTAACATTTTATTTTTTCAAATCTTTCAGTGTGAATTTAAAAGTATATATAAATGGATAGATGGATATAAATATATCATTTGACATCCCATTATATTACCTGCTTTTGTCACTTAAACATGTGAATATCTGTATGTTAGTAAATACCAATATACACTATAATTTTCTGTTGCATAGAATTCCATTACATGATTGAACATATTAATAGATATTTAGGTTGTTTGTTTTCCCATTGTATAAACAATATAAACTTACCTCTATCTCCAGCACCCCTCTTATATTTGAGCCTATCTTTTTTTTAATCTTCACCTGAGGACATTTTTGCATTTATCTTCAGATAGAGCGGGAGGGAGTGAGGGAGAGAGAGAGAGAGAGAGAAACATCGATGTGAGAGACACATCGACTGGCTGCCACCCACATGACCCCAACCGGGGCCAGGGGCAAACTGTAACTGAGGGACATGCCCTTACCAGGAACCAACCCCAGCCTCTCTGGCCTGTGGACCGACGTTCTAACTGCTGAGCCAAACCGGCCAGGGTTCTTTTTTGTCTAAACTGTTAGTCCATTCATCTTTTCTTGCCCTGTTGCAGTGTTTCTATACTTTTGAATGAACAAATGCTGTGATAAGTATTTTGTACATATATCTTTGTGTACTTGTTTATTTATTTTTACTGAATCTTAGAAATGGAATTGCTGGATCCAGTTAATTGGTATGCATATGTAAGGTTTTGGTACATACAGGGTGGGGCAAAAGTAGGATTACATTGTTGGTATGAAAATAATAAAATAAATAATAATACAAGAATAAACTGTTTTGCATATTCACAACTGTAAACCTACTTTTTCCACACCCTATATTGCAAGATTGTCCTCGTAAAGATTTTTACAGATTTACTATCATTGTCACATATCCCTACACCTTTGCCAACAATCTTTCTGATGTTCTTAGAAACTCCTGATCACTCAATTTTTAAAAATCTTTATTGTTGTAAGCATTACAGTTGTGTTCCCTCCCCCCCCATTGATACCCTCTTTCCTGCTCCCACCTCCCTCTGAACTCACTAAATTTCATGCCAGTCTATTGCAAATATTTATGAGATTCCTGGAGAAAGGAATAGTATTAGGGATTGTAAATACCTGTAATACTATTGTTTTCTGTTCTGAAGCTGTGCCATATAGCAGTGATTGATATTGTCTGAATTAAATTCTTAAGGACAGTTATAATATTTTAGATTGCAAGGAAGTTCTTGAGTGGTTAAGGAAGACTGTAAGAGGAAAGCACAGTATTTGACTGGGTCTGCTTAGTTCTGGGATTTTCTGTCATACTGCTTATGTCTAGGTGTAGTGGAAATAGAATGTTAATGCTTTTGGCATTTCTAAAGTAGGGGAAAAACTAGTCAAGGGCTGTCATTTTGTAGACAATTTAATTTTGTTCTCCATTAAGGAAATCCCTCCTTTCCAGAAGTACAGATGTTGAACTTAAAGCAAACCAAGTAAAAATTATAAAATTTAATAAGCTCTCAGATAAGATTAGAAGCCTTATATACACTAAATATGCTTTTAATTTTGCATTTACTGCCTAAGGTGATGTATTGGTTGTCTGTACTTGGCAGGTTCCAGTTTTGTGGTTTTCTTCTCTTCTTTTATTATTTTATTAAAGCCAGGGTATCGGCAATGTTGTTTTGAATCTTCTTTTTTTTTTTTTAATCTTAACCCGAGGATATTTTTCTGTTTATCTTCAGATAGAGTGGGAGAGAGAGAGAGGGGGAGAGGAAGGGGGGAGAGAGAGAAACATCAACGTGAGAAGGACACATCCACTGGTTGCCTCCTGCATGACCCTGACCATGGTTGGGGATGAACTGCAATCAAGGTATGTGCCCTTGGCTGGAATTAAACCTGCGACTCATTGGTCCACAGGCCGACTCTCTACTGCTGAGCCAAACCCACCAGGGCGTTTTGAATCTTCTTTTAAGGGCAATTTACATAATTTGTTTTGACTGCTAAGTAGAAAAGTTTGTTGTTGAATGTTACTGGTTTGGTTATGCTACAGATGAACTGAATCTAGGGTTTTCTTTTATTTTTTAATCTTTATTGTTGAAAGTACTACAGATGTGTTCCCCGTTTCATCCCCCACTGATCCCATCCTCCTCGCTCCCATCCTCCTCGCTCCCAACCCCATCCTGCCTTCCCCACCCTGTTGTCTGGGTCCATTGGTTATGCATATATACATATAAGTTCTTTGGTTTATCTCTTTCCTCCCCTCACCCCCCTAGTCTAGGGTTTTCAAATAGACCAGCCATAAATTATAAAAAAAAACTCTTTGAGTTTCTATAACATAATAATTAATTATGTCATTATTTTTGAGAAAAGGAAAGGAGTTTCAGATTACATTCTCAATGGCTATTTGTGCCATTATGGGTGATTCATGTGGCTGTTGTACTGATGTGGAATGTGATGATAATGTCCCCTAGCCTTTGCAAAGCCATCTGAATCAGATATTTTTTCCACTTCTGGCACAGGTGGAGAAGGACTTGCTCTCAGGTAGGGAGAACAGATGCATTTATGAGTGACTGAACCTTGTCTGCCAACTCTTGTTAACTTAGTGTAGAATTGAGATCTGGAAGTATATCAAGCCTTGGATGTGCTTAGAAAGATTTGTGAGTGAATCCTTCCCCCTCCCCCTGAGCTCTTGCTTTTCCAGAATAAGCTAGAATTCTGGATTTTTGTTTTTGTTTTATTATTTTCCCATCACCCTTCCCTTTATCAACTTGTTGTCTATATCTGTGGGTATGAATGCATTTTTAGTTAAGCTTGGAGGTAGACTGACTATAGTTGAAAACAAGTAAAACAATGCTTTAATTAAAATTTTTTTGGTTGGAGGTTAAGAATGTTTATTGGAGTGTGGGGTGAGGTATAAGTTTTAGGAAAAGTGGGCTTGCAGGGCACAGTGGACATCTTCAAGAGACATCTGGTACATTCCTGCTTTTTTTTTTTTTTTAATCCTCACCCGAGGACATTTTTCCGTCTTTTGGTCAGGTAGAGTGGGAGGAAGAGAGAGGGAGAGAGAGAGAAAGAGAAACATTGACATGAAAGGGACACGTCGAGTGGCTGCCACCCTCATGACCAACCAGGGCTGGGGACAAACTGCAACTGAGGTACGCACCCTTAGCGGGAACCAAACCCAGGTTTCTCTAGACCGCAGGCTGATGCTCTAACCGCTGAGCCAAACTGGCCAGGGCCATTCCTGCTTTTTAAATGGTGGATTCCTTTCTTACATTTAGTAATCAGAAAATTATAAGAGTTTTACTTCGTAAAGTTTATAGTTTCATTTTAATATAAATATAAAAATTAGAAAGTAAGGATAAACCCTTTTTGATTTTTACATTTTCTTAGGTATTTTCATGTTTGAGATGGCAGCCACCAATAAATAGCATACCTAGTACCTAAGACCCTTAGCAGATGCTTGTGGTTGAATGAGGGAGTCCTTGAGAGGAAGTAAGACCCACTTACACTCCAATTTATGAAGTGACCTCGTCTTCACGATTACCTTTGAGATTTTTTTTTTTTGATTTGTTATTAGACCAAAGCAAAAGGTGTTTTCTTTTTTTTTTGTTGTTTGTTTGTTTGTTTTTTATCCTCACCCAAGGATATTTTTCCATTTTTTGTACAGATAGAGTGGGAGGGAGAGAGAGGAAGAGAAACATCGACATGAAGGGACACATCGAGTGGCTGCCACCCGCACGACCAACCAGGGCCGGGGACAAACTGCAACCGAAGTACGTGCCCTTAGTGGGAACCGAACCCGGGTCTCTCCGGACCGCAGGCCGACGCTTTAACCGCTGAGCCAAACTGGCCAGGGCTGTTTTCTTTTGTTAATCACTTAACCAAAGGAAAAAACCTGGTCGATGTGATTCCTTGATATAATTGGAATTGATGTTTTATCAAATAATATTTATATTCCATTTAAGATGAAGAAGATGACTTTATGTGTAAGAAGGCAGCCTCTAAATCAAAAGAGAATGGAGGATCTACAAATAGTTATCTTGGAGCATCAAACATGAAAAAGAATGAAGAAAACACTAAGACCAAGAATAAGCCTTTATCACCAATAAAACTTACCCCTACATCAGTGCTTGATTATTTTGGAACTGGAAGTGTCCAAAGATCAGATAAGAAGATGGTGGCAAGCCAAAGAAAAGAGGTGAGTGTTCTACATGCAAGCAAGAATGTTCATTTACTGTTATTAATATGAGGAGAAATTTGGATGTTGTAATAGGTCAACATATTTTATTGATTAAAATTTCCTATGATTATGGACAAAATGTTTTGCCACAATTGTAGAGGATGAGGAAGTTTGACTATTTAATTTTTTTATATTTGAAAGTGGGAAAAGATCATTTACAATTTAGTAAGAAAAAATGATAATTCTCAGAATTTAAATTAAATACTTAGAATGTAAACTCATTTTACTATTGACCTCAGCTAGACAAAATTGGACAATAAATTTCCCAAATGAGGTTATAAGTACATAATTTGTATATATATATACATTTACATATATGTTTTATATATATATGTGTGTGTGTGTGTGTGTGTGTATATATATATACACATACATATACATACATATATACACACACTTTATCCTCACCTGAGGACATTTTTTGCATTTATCTTCAGATAGAGTGGGAGGGAGAGAGGGATGGAGAGAGAGAGAAACATCGATGTGAGAGAGACACATAGACTGGTTGCCACCCACATGACCCCAACTGGGGCTGGGGACAAACTGCAACTGAGGTATGTGCCCTTAGTGGGAACTAAACCCGGGTATCTCTGGTCTGCATACCGATACTCTAACCGCTGAGCCAAACTGGCCAGGGCTAAGTACATAACTTACAAATAGAGCCTACCTATGCTACACTTTTGACATTCTCTACTTTGGCTGATGTTAGATTCACCTTTTTCTAGAAATTTAGGAAACAGAAATACAGGTAAATTATAGTGAAAGTCTCCTGAGTTAAAGCCTGTCAAATGGTGTGTGTGTGTTGATTTCATTAGTGCCTCCATAGGACAGTGTTATCCTTTTCACATATTGATTCGACTGCTTCACAAACCAAGATGTTAATCTACAAGTGCTTTTTGGGGGAGGGGAGCGATGTTACTTTTCTTGAACATTTCAATAGAATTAAGCGAGAACCATCTCTCTGCAGAATATTTGCTCATTAGGAAATCAGATGTGGTCACTGAGTAGTCATGAACATGACTTGCTGGCTGGTGGGGATTGAGACTGACTATTTCATTACTAGTACACTTAACTCTCACTGGTATATTTAATCATTGCTATCAAGAAAAACATTTTCTTTTTAACAAGTTTTATGCTGATCTTGCTTGATTTTCTTTGAAATACAGCCTTCAAAAAATGCAAATGATTCCAGATTAAATGATGAAGCCATTGCCAAGCAATTGCAACTTGATGAAGATGCAGAGGTACTGTCATTTTGTTTAGATGTCCTTGACAGCTTGATGTTCTGACTTGTTATTTAGTCTACCCAGGCAAACAAGATTATTCTAGACTATTTTGGATTGAGCCTCATAGTAAGAGTTATGTGTAAAGTAAGTTAAAATCTAATATATGAACATCTGAATTTATATAAAATAAGAGCAGGGGGATATTATTTACTTAGAGATTTATTATTAAATTAAAAAAATTTTTTTTCTTTATTGATTTTAGAGAGAGGAAGAGAGAGGTAGAGAGAGAGAGAAACATTGATGAGAGAGACCATCAATCGGCCACCTCCTGCGTGCCCCCCACTGAGGATTTGACCCACAACCTGGGCATGTGCCCTGATTGGGAGTTGAACTGGTGACCTCTTGGTGCGTGGGTCAATGCTCAATCACTGAGCTACACTAGCTGGGCTTATTATTAAGTTTTTTTAAATGGAAAACTCCTTTAGTGTAGTTAAAATAATTTAATTTGATCATATTCTTTTCTTTTCACAGTGCGTAATTTCATCCACTCCTGTGGCTTTAATTAATAAGGTTATGCTGGTGGTCCCTAAATCTGTTTCCAATTCAGAGTGCTCTCTTGAGCTGTAAACCATATATTCATCCAATAAATATTTGTTGAGCACTTACTGAGTGCATGGCACAGTTCCAGGTGGTACAGATACTGCAGTCAAAAAAAAATTATGTTGCTCTGCCGGTGTGGCTCAGTGGATTGAGCATTGCCCCATGGACTGCAAGGTTCTGGTTCGATTCTTGGTCAGGGCACAGGCCTTGGTTGTGGGCTCGATCCCCAGTAGGGGAGGGGATGTGCAGGAGGCAGTCAGTTGATGTATCTCTCTCACATCAATGTTTTTATATCTTTCTCCCTTCCGCTCTAAAAAAAAAAATCAATAAAAACATATTTAAAAAATTATATACTATGAGGAAAACTAAAGGGATAGTTTTTTTTTTTTTTAAAGAATAAGCAACTTTATTACATGAGCTAAGGTAGGAGGCAAGAGGATTTATTTGCCTTTGTGGGCCTTAATTTTCCTCGGGTAAAACTCCAGCTCCTTACCCTCTAGCACATAGCTACCTGCTTGGCCTCAGTGGCATGGTCTTAGAGCGATGCATGCAAGAAGCTTGCCCTGCTGGAAGTCCTTCTCTAGAAGACTGCTGATAGTGGCATTCTTTTTCCTTTCATAATATTTTTCTGAATTTTCTTTGGTCGTTTTTTATTTAAAATCTTTTCCTTCTCAGGAGTCAGTGTGGCCCCTTCTTGTGGCTCAGGGCAGTGCATAGTCGGGCTCGCACCACTGTCCATACAATGCTGTCAGTGAGCACGATGCAGTTCTTTATTAGGGTCTCGGTGTGGACCAGTTAATTGTTGGATACAATGTAGACAACATCAATAATCCTTTGCGAGTACAACACCTGGGACCCAGGAGAAGTCCATGTCCAGCCTCAAGGCTTGGTACTTGCTGCCTCCTCGCACGTGGGCTGGATGTATGTGGCGGATGGTAATTGTAGTGTTGGCAGCAGATGTCCCAGCTCAAACTTTTTACTTCTTGTGGTAGGGCTTTCTTTTGCCCTGGATTTTGCAGAACTTCTGCCAGTTGTCCTGAGATATGCCCATGGTTTGGCGGCAGATGGAAAAAGAATGAGTCTTCTATTTTAAGTAGAGGTGTCAGGAAGGTCCCTTTGAGGAAGTGATATTGGTGCACACAATGAAGTGATAATGCAAACCATGGGGCTGGCTACCTGAAGGAAGATTTCCTCTAAACAGAACAGCAAGTGTAAGCATCCTGAGGTAGAAGAGTTTGAGAAATGGTCCACTGCACATACTCTTAAGTCATGACAAGTCATCAGTACCTACCAAAAGGACTTGGGTTGGTAAGGACTTTGGTTTTTTTTTTCCTTTGAGAAGAAAGGATTATTAACCAATGTCACCCTAATAAATTCAATAAAAATTAAAAAAAAAGAAAGGAGGGCCCTGGCCGGTTTTGCTCAGTGGTTAGAGCATCGGCCTGTGGTCCCGAGACACCCAGGTTCGGTTCCGCTAAGGGCACATACCTTGGTTGCAGTTTGTTCCCGACCCCAGTTGGGTCATGCAGGTGGCAGCCACTTGATGTGTCCCTTTCACATTGATATTTCTCTCTTCCTCCCTCTCCCTCCCTCCCACTCTATCTGAACAAAAAAATGGAAAAATGCCCTTGGGTGAGGACAAAAAAAAAAGAGGGCTGCAGCCAATCATTGTTAAACATAGAGTGTTTTCTAGGAGCTGTTCCCCTCTGGCTCTCATTGGCACTCGCGTGTGTGCTTTGCTGCCCACTGTTAAGTTTCGCTCTGCGTTTTGTGAATCCTCAAGGCCACTGGTGTAGTTTCCGGAGTAGGGCCCTTCGCAGCAAAGCTGGGCCCCCTTCCTTGCATACACCCTTGGGGGGGGTGGTTACCAGGGAAACTAGTTTCGGAAAATGGCTGATCGTTTGCTCTTTCGTGGGCACCGGGCTTCGCCAGTGTTTTCTCTTTGGAATTGCAGCCTCAGCCCAGGCCTATTCAACGAACACAAGTACTGCCATGGAGAGCCCAAAGCCCTCACTGGAATAGTGCAGCGCTCCTTCCTGTTCTCCCTCGCTTTCTCTCTTGTTTGCCCCTTTCCCTTGCCGCAGGACATGGAAGCAAAGTCGCATATTAAGGCCCTGCTCTGGCTGGGCGAGGTGCAAAGGAGTCCTGCGCGGGGCCCCTGCAAAAGGGCGCAGAAACGGCGAGGCAGGCCTTACCCGGGTGTTGCTTGCTTCTGTGTTTTGTATGCTTTGTGAGCTGACCTCACAGCCTAAAAAGCAAGGGCTGCAGTTAAGCAGGATAAGCTCAGGCCCAGTTCATTTAATCAAGCAGGCCTTTTTAGGTGCTTACTCTGTGCCAGGCAGTTTTCAAGGAGCTTAGGGATACAGCGTAAACTACATCCCTTGCTCTAAAGGAGCTTGACATTGTAGACTGGGACGTAAGTTGAATGACATGAAATTATATGAATGATAGGGAAAGGAGAGAAAAGTGTACTGTTTTAGGTAGGATAGTCTGGAAAGACCTCTTTGATATTTGAGCAAAGAGCTGAATGAAAACAGAGGGAGCATTCCAAGGGAAGGATGGCCCGGGCAGAACAGCAAGTTAGAAAACTCCCGAACCCTAATGTGCTTGGGAAAAAAGCAAGGAAGCCAGGGTGCTTACAGCGCAGGGAGTCTGGATGAGAAGATTGTGGGAAATAGGATTACTTGTGACATGGCAGGGCCCTGATTAAGCTGAGAAAGGAGATGGAAGCCATTGGATGGTTTTACTCTGGAGAGGGGAATGATTTGTAAAATGGTGCATAGACTGTTGACCTTAAAAAGTGCAAGCAGGGCCCTCGCTGATTTTTCTCAGCGGTTAGAGCCTCGGCCAGTGGTCCAGAGAGACTCTGGTTAGGTTTGCTAAGGGCACGTACCTCAGTTGCAGTTTGTCCCCGGCCCTGGTTGAGGTCGTGTGGGTGGCAAACAGTCGATGTATCTCTAACACATGGATGTTTCTCTCTCTCTTCCCCCCTTTCTCCCTCCCACTCTGTCTGAAGATAAATGCAAAAAAGTTCAGTGAGGATTAAAAAAAAAGTGCAAGCAGAAATATCACCCAGGAGACTATTTCAATAGTCCAGGTACTAAAAGTATGGCCCCTTGCCATCAGAGGGTAGCAATGGAAATGTTGAGAACCAGTAGGATTCGGAACATATTTTGAAGTAGAGCCAACAGGATCTACTGATGGATTGTAAAAAGAGACAGAGAGACAAAAATGACTATATCTATATCTATATCTATATATCTATTTTTTGGTACATGCCCCTAGTGGGAACTGAACCCAGGACTCTCTGGTCCGCAGGCCGACGCTCCAACCGCTGAGCCAAAACGGCCAGGGCTAGCTATATATATATATATTTTTTTTATAATCAAAGCATCTGAACAGTGGTTGGTTCTTGCTAAAATAAGAAACACTGGAGCTCAATTTGGCTGATTGGCTGGAGTGCCGGCCTGCGGACCAGAGAGCCCTGGGATAGGCTCTTGCCAGGAGCACGTACTAAACAAAATATTTTTCTTTCTTTCTTTCTTTTTTTTTTTTTATCTTTATTGTTGAATGTATTACAGATGGTCCTCATTTTTTCCCCCATTTCCTCCTCCTCACTCCTGCCCCCCTCCTGCCTTTTCCCACACTATTGTCTGTGTCCATTGGTTATGCATATATGATTTTTGGTTTATTTCTTCCCACCCCTCACCCCCCTTCTCTGTGAGGTTTGTCAATCTAGCAACCAATTTGTTCTTCTTAATCCCTTCACCTTTTTCACCCATTCCCCCAACCCCCCTCCCATCTGGCAACCAACAAAATGTTCTCTGTATCTATGAGAATGTTTCTGTTCTGCCTGTTCATTTTGTTTGTAGATTCCATTGTTGATAGATATGTATTCATTGCCATTTTGTTTGTTCATATATTTTATCTTTTTCTTCAAAAACACGCTTCCACATTTCATATAATAACGGTTTGGTGGTGATGAACTCCTTTAACTTTTTCTTGTCTGGGAAACTCTTTATATGGCCATTGATTCTAAATGACAGCTTTGCAGGATAGAGTAATCTTGGTTGTAGGTTGTTGCTTTTCATCACTCTGAAGATTTCTTGCCACTCCCTTCTGGCCTGCAAAGGTTCTTTTGAGAAATCAGCTGACAGTCTTATGGGAACTCCCTTGTAGGTAACTAACTGCTTTTGTCTTGCTGCTTTTAAGATTCTCTCTTTGTCTTGAACCTTTTGCATTTTGATGATGATGTGTCTTGGTGTGGGTCTCTTGGGGTTCATCTTGTTTGGGACTCCTGTGCTTCCTGGACTTGTCTGTTTCCTTCACCAAGTTAGGGAAGTTTTCTGCCATTATTGTTTCAAATAGGTTTTCGGTTTCTTGTTCTCTCTCTCCTCCTTCTGGCACCCTCAAGATACAAATGTTGGCAGGCTTGAAGTTGTCCCAGAGGCTCCTTACACTATCCTCATTTTTTTGGATTCTTTTTTCTTTTTGCTGTTCTGATTGGGTGTTTTTTGCCTCCTCCTATTCCAAATTGATGGTTTGCTTCGTGGCTTTACCTACTCTACTATTGAATCTGTGTAAATTATTCTTTATTTCAGTTAGTGTCTCTTTTATTTCTGACTGGTCCTTTTTATGCTCTTGAGGCCCCCACTAAGTTCACTGAGGCCCTCACTAAGTTCATTGAGCATCCTTATATGCAGTGTTTTGAACTCAGCATCTGTTAGGTTGCTTATCTCCATTTCGCTTAGTTCTTTTCTTGGAGATTTTTTCTGTTCTTTCATTTGGGACCTGTTTCTTTGTCTCCTCATTATGGCTGCCTCCCTGTGTTTGTTTCTATGTATTACTTAATGAGAGGTATGGGGCTAGCTGAGACCAGATGCTGCTTGTTTGAAAGAATTTAGGAAAACCTGAAGCAGGATCCAAGACAGGCCAATCCTATGGTAAAGCAACTGGCAACAGCCTGGGTGGGCCTGAAAGTTGAGTGGGGCGGGGCCTCAGGGAATCACCAGGGTGGAGCTACCAGCGTGAGCCAGGTTGCTGGAGTCCCAGATATGGCAGCTGTCTGCCGCCCCAGGGAAGGGCTCACCAAAGGAGCAAAGGCCTCTGATAGCACGTTTGTCCCCGAGAATGCCCCCTCTCCAGCCCTCGCTCCAGTGCCAAACAGCTCAGTTCTTCCCTGTATGTCTCTGGTGCCCCTCGAGCTGCCTCCCCTCCAAGCTTAGAGGGAGTGAGTCTGATAAGTCCGTGCGCGGGCCCTTTAGGAGGAGCTGCCTGGGGCTCCAGCCGCCTCAGCCTCCCTGAGCCTCAGTTCCCGCTGGTTTTTCCAGCCAGAGGTTATGGGGACTTCTCTTCCTGGCACTGGAACCCCGAGCAGGGTGCCTGGTGTGGGATGAGGACCCCTCAGTCCTCAGAGAGGACGTTCCCAGCCGAGGTGTACTCCTGATTTTTATCCGCCACACGTGGGTGTGGGACCAGCCTGTCTGCCCCTGCCCTCCTACCAGTCTGGATGTGGCTGCTGCTTTAATTCTGTAGTTGTGGGACTTCCATTGAGCTTGATTTCAGGAGGTTTTGAATGGTGGTGGTTCTGTAGTTTACTTTTTTTTTTTTTTTTATCCTCACCCAAGGACATTTTACCATTTTTTGTTCAGATAGAGTGGGAGGGAGAGAGAGAGAGAAACATCGACGTGAAAGGGGTACATCGAGTAGTTGCCACCCGCATGAACCAACCAGGGCCGGGGACAAACTGCAACTGAGGTACGTGCCCTTAGTGGGAATTGAACCTGGGTCTCTCTTGACTGCAGGCTGACACTCTAACCACTGAGCAAAACTGGCCAGGGCTAGTTGTAACTTTGATGTGGTTGTGGGCGGACGCTATACTGCGTTTACCTACGCTGCCATCTTGACCGGAAGTCTTGGTAAGGACTTTGGATTTTAGTCGCTGTGAGGTGAGAATCCATTGGAGTATTAAATAGATGTGACATGAATTGACAGATCTTAAAAGAAAATTATTATGGTTGCTGTGATGCCAATAAGTCATGGTGGGGCAAAAGCAAAAGCAGATGAGTTTGGACACTTGTGGTAGGGTAGGTAGGTGAGAGATGATGTTGGCTTGCACCAGTGTGGTAAAGGAAAGAGAGGTAGTGAGAAGTGGTTATAATCTGTGCTTTGAAGGTGCAACTTTCAAGTTGTTGATAGGTTGGATGTCAGGTATGAGGAAAAAGAAGATTCAAAGGTAGATTCTGTGTATTTTGGCTTGAGCAACTGAATATTTGTTTAGATTGGAACACTGGTACAGATAATTGAAGAATTTTGTTTTGGACATGTTATGCTTGAAATACCTGTTAGGCTTCCAGATAGAGATGCAGAGTAAGTGGTTAGATAGTGGAATCTGAAACTCAGTGGTGAGGTTTAAGCTGAAGACATACATTTGGGAATCACTAGCATTTGTATGGTATTTAAAATCTGTGTAACTGAATGGTATCATAAGGAGAGAAAGTTAATAAAGAAGAAGTCTTAGGATTGAGCTCTGTTAAATTTAGAGGTCAGGGAGAGGAGGATGGTCCAGCAAGGAGAATTAAGAAAGAGTTTCTAATGAAGTAGGGAAATGAGGAGAGCTTGGTATTTCATGGAAGCCAAATAAAGTATTTCAAGGGGGAGTGTACATCTGTTAGAAGTTCCAGACTTTGCTACCTACTGTTTGAGGTACCCTTCCTGTTTATTAGCTTAAGTGTGACTTTCTCATGTTCCCTAAACTATATAAGAAACCCCTCTTATATCCTCCATTGTACCCCATTGCAGCTACTATTAATATTTGTTATACTTCCTATTTAAATGTCTTCCTGTTTATAGGCTATAAAGTTCACCCACCAGGGTTGTTTATGTCTCATCAACTATTATGCCATCACTGCTCATTTTAGTGCATGGCATATTGTTGTCAGAGAATAGTATTCTGATCTTTTGGAATATATCTGATTTGTTCCCATTTTATTAATTTGGCAGTTTATAGTTTGTGTTTTCAGAATCTTTTTCCATTTTATTTGATTACACTGAATTACATAAACTATAAACCAAGTATCCATATGACTCAAAATAGCACAAATGGCCTAGGTAAAATTGTGAGGTAATGTTTAGGGACCTGACTTCTTTTTTTTAATTCTCACCTAAGGATATTTTTTCATTGATTTTTAGATAGAATGGAAGGGAGGGAGAGAGGGAGAGAAAGAGAGAGACATATTGATGTGAGAGAGACACATTGATTGGTTGTCTCCTGTAGGACCCTGGCTAGGGCCAGGGATCGAACCTGCAACCCAGGCACATGCCCTTGACCAGGAATTGAACCCGAGACCGTTTGGTCCAAAAGTTGACACTCTAACCACTGAGCCAAACCAGCCAGGCAGGATCTGGCTTCTTACCTCATTCTTTCCAAACCAGGTGTGGTACTTTGTATCACAATTCTCTATTTTCTCATTCCTGTCACATTCTTTCAGAATCCTCTTTGGGTAATTTATTAGTCTGATGAAGAGTTTTTAGGGTGTTAGTGACTGATGATATCTTTCCTGATTATCTCTCTTAAGATAAACTCCTTTTTCCCCTTTCTCCCCTCACTTTCACCTCTTTGTTTATTCCTTTAGTTGTGTGCGTCCAGCACCTAAGTTATTAAGTTAGACAGTATGTTAAACATCATCTGCTGTGCTAAACATTGTATTAAAATATAGTACTTTTGATCACATGATGTCATAATCACCAATAATGAATTTCTGATGTATTTAACTTTTTTCTGTCATCTAAATCATCTAGAATCCTTTGTTCTAGAAGTGTACTACATAGTGTCAAATTTTGGGAAAACGGTATGGGGTCAACCATAAATTCTCACAGTGCCACTGGAGGTTTAGAGTTTGAAGGGCCTTTTATGGTGAAGTTTTCATATATAAACACACACACATATATATATATATATTTTTTTTTTTTAGCAATTAGATGTGTACTTCAGGTATGGTAAGGAAATATTAGACAACAGAATAGGTAGATGAGCCTCCCTCTGGCTTATAGTTCTGTGTAGCTTGATTTGGTTCATTTCTTAACAAGAAAAGGCTTGGTTACTGTGTTCTCAGCAGACTTATGCTAGTTTCCAAGCCTTTTTAGGATTGAGTTTTTTTTTCATTTGTTTGAGCAATATAGGGATGCCTTTGTTCGATATTACATTAGGCCATTTTATCAGGGGGCATTCACCATTTAGTTTCTAATGAAAAATGTATTTCTCTGCTAGGCATTCTTTTCTGAAAGAGCTCCATTTTGCTGAAAGGGAGAATGTCTGTGCTAAAATTAGCAGCATGTTAGGAAAACTTCTATATGATGATTTAAATTTTCAAAAGTCAGAACAGATACATTTGAACTAGTAATTGAAAATAGGAATTTGATTATATAAGTGATAGTTATATTTGTGTGTACCTTACTGTGTTTGTAAAGAAAATGTATAATTTTCTTGATTTCTTTATTCACTGTTTTTTTTGTGCTCTCCAGACTAGTGTTTTTCTATTAGGATGAGATTCTTTTCAGAGCTTTTTCTAGAGCTTAAAATAAATAGAAATAAGAGATCTGTAAGTATTGCATTAGGACTATTAAGAAAAAAACGGTATTTTTCAAACTTTGTAAGTGAGAAATAAGACTTTAAAAATATGCTCAGTTTATCTGTCATGCCTGCAAAACTAGATATTTTTGTTCTGAAATCTAATATGGCTTAGTGAAACAAACTTGTGATACTTAACTGTTAATATTAAATGGAAAAATGTCATAGTTACTTTCTGGAAAATGTATTCCAGTTTTTCTTTGTATCATGAATTAAACATTTAAAAACTTTCATTTACAAAAAGAATAAAAGCAACTCACTCTGTTAACACTTTTTACAGTTGGAGAGACAATTGCATGAAGATGAAGAGTTTGCCAGAACATTAGCCATGTTGGATGAAGAACCTAAGAGCAAAAAGGTGGCTTTTTATTGGGCCGTTTGCGCTCTGACTATATAATACAGATCAGTGTTCCCTTTCATACTTATGTATTCTAAGCTCTGGAAATATAGCCATGAGTAGCTCTTCTAAAAAGAAGCTAAATTGTTTTAATTTATAAAAACGTTTTTGAGGAAGCTCATTGAGAAACGTATTCTTCCCAAAGGAAGGTTGATAGAGCCAAAGCCAAACAGAACCCTGCTTCACAAGACAATGAATTGAAACTTTTGCTTACTGTCTGTCACAAAGGGGTTCTTATACTTATTCCGAGAATAATGCTTATAAAGATTCCTATGGAACTTGACATTTAATAACTAATATTTACCATCATTTTGGGAAGTACAGTTTTGCTACTTCTAATTAGTTACCTTTAAGATCTGTATTAGGACAGTCTCAAATAATTAGTATATTTTTGGGAATCTTTAAAAGCATCAGGATTTTTTTTTAAGCACTTTATCATCAAAAAATTAGACTGACTTATTTTGAATCCCATTCTGTTAATATTGTCAGTATCAATATCTGGCTGTTTAAAAAGATTTCACAGCAGTCATATGTAAGACACTAGTGTGTGCAGAGGACTTGATCATTTGAAAAGCCTTATTCAGTACACCTAAAGACATTCAAATTATAATTGTTAAAAAAAAAAAGACCATGTTGCACCCCAATATGTGGTGTCTTTGTAAAAGGCAGTTCTGAGGGAGCCCTGGAGAGAGAATGGATTTTTTTTCTCTTTTGAGAAACTGTTCTCTTATTTTTCTTTTCAGCTTTCCATTTTGGATTTATATTTTAGTTTTAACCTCATAATGCTAACAATTTAAAAATTGAGATGAAAGAAGCAGAAACAAGGCTTTCATTTCCAGACTCACAACTTGGGAAGAACTGGGATAATTTTTTTTATAGAATGTATTTTTTGTACCCTTTTCATTTGTTTTCTTATCTGTAAAATTAAAAGTAATAAAACATTCTTCATTTGCCCCAGAAATTTTGTGGATGAATGAGTGAAAATTTATCGTATTGTCCTGCTACTTTGGAAGATGGCCCTTAAAATTAAAACTTAAATTAAAAACTTTGGTCAGTTTTAACAACGTATTTTGTGGTAATAATTTTCCTATCATTTGTCACATTGACACTTTAAACATTTTCTTAGGCTCTAAAGGACCCAGAAGAGAGAGAAACGTTTTCATCTGTTCAAGCCAATTTAAGTAAAGCAGAAAAACATAAATATCCTTATAAAGGTAATATTAGAAAAAATGTAAGATGAAACATTTATTTTTATAGAAGGAAATTTATGGTAACTTTGTTTAAACATTCTATTCAATAAATGCCTTATATTGTTAAGTAGACATTATTTCATAGGCATATTGGAGCATGTTCTACTTAGATACTCTGAAAACTGTTGAAGTATTAGCTGGTGCAGAATACCTTTCTGCTCTATGATCATTGTGAGAAAGGTTTTATAGCTCTTGGCTTCATGTTAATTTCCAAGTATAGCGTAACATGTGGACTACAGTATATGAAGACAGAACTAGATGTTTCAAGCTCAGAGTTAACTGATAGTGTTCAGGTCATCTGAAGCTCTCCTGCTGATTGTCCAAAGGTTTTATTTTTTAGTGGTCCTGATATCTAACCATCTGCTAGTATAGATGGTCTTAATCCTATAAGTAAATTTGTTCATATAGTAACTTTTAGTCTTGAAATCTCTCAGGATTTGCAGCTTTCAGACTATATTACAGGGTTTTTTGTGACATCCTAGTCATTAAGTTGTCTCATGGTAAATTTCAGATCACTGAAGGTTATCTGTGGAATAAAGTCCGTGTTCTTAGATTTGGTTTATCATGTTATTTCAATTATTGAGTAATTTGTATTTAAAAATAGATCCCTTAATTTGAACTGGTTATACAAAGAAGTAATATACAAATGTTTAATTTTTAAAAATAAATATGCTATATAAAGAATTAAAATCTTAATGTAAACATGAAATCACCTATGACATTGTGCACTAACAAGATTACTAAGAAAAATGCAAAAATAATCTTATTATTGGGTATCATTTCCGAAAAACAACAATCATATTTTCTGTTTTGCTAGTAAAAACAGAACAATTTCTGGATGAAAGAAAGAACTGCAGTCCTAAGAAGCAAACTAAATGTGAAAGTTTAAAAGAATCTCAGCAACATTCCAAGTCATCAGCTCACAAAATAGGAGAAACAACTTCTAAAGCTAATTCCAAGCTGACACTTTTGAAAAAAAAGGAAGAGAGTTCTTCTAAAGAAACAGAGCCTTTGTCCTTGAAAAGAAAAGAAAATGCCATTGAATTGAAAGGAGAGACAAAAAGTCCTAAGAAAACCAAAAGTTCTCCTGCTAAAAAAGAGGTAGAATTTTCTAAAAGTGTATCATGTTGGGGCTATGTGTTGATCTGGGTTTGATTATTTTCAAGTTTTATTTCTAACTTTGTAAGTCATTATAGTACTTTTAAAATACCATCTTATTTAAATGCTATTGCAGGTCATAGGTTACAAATATAGCTAAATTAGCCAATATGTATTGAATGTTATTGTGTATCAGATATTGTGCTAAAACATATGGTATCTTCACAACAGCCCTGTGAGATATTTATTTTTATTCAACTTTTTTTTTTAATCCTTGTTGCATGGGAGAGAGGAAGGAAAGAGAGAAAGAGAGGGAGGAAGAGAGAGAGAGGGAGGAAGAGAGAGAAACAGTGACGTGAGAGAGACACATCAGTGGTTGCCACCCACACGACCCCAACTGGGGCCGGGGACAAACTGCAACCGAGGTACATGCCCTTAGCGGAAAGCAAACCTAGGACTCTGGTCCGCAGGCCGACGCTCTAACCGCTTAGCCAAACTGCCTAGGGCTCAACTTTTTTAAAATAGATTTTTAGAGAGGGAGGAAGGGAGAAGAAGGGGGTAGGGAGAGAGATACATCAATTGGTTGCCTTCTTTACGTGCCCTGACTGGGAATCGAACCCTCAACTTTCTGGTGCATAGGATGATGCTCTAACCAACTGAGCCACACTGGCCATGGCTTTATTATTCAACTTTTAAAGATGAGTGTACAGGCTGAAAGCATTTAAGTAATTTTTACAAGATTTATCCAGCTGGTAGGTGACAGAGTTAGCTTTGAACTTAGGACTTCTAGGCCAAAAAAAAGCAGTATAACATGGTGGCTCTGCAGTGGAGTCTGGAGCCAGTTTCAGATCATAGTGCTTTCATTGAGCAGATGTGTGACCTTGGTCTGGCTACTTGCCCTCCTTCTGCTTTGTTTTCCTCATTTGTAAAATAGTCATAATGAGTTAATATCTAAAACCACTTAGAACAATGCCTGGCACATAATAAGTGCTATATAAATTTTTGCTGTTATTAAAATTATTATTTGTATTTGTCCTTGTATAACAATGTTGAGATACTGAAATCATTTTTAAAGGAAAAAAACAGGTAAATAATATGAAATGGTTTTTAGAAGTTTTCTGTATTTTCATCTCCAGTTTGGAACTACCGTAGATTCATAATGAGAAGCCACAATTCCTTCAAGCCTTCTAGACACTTAGAATTAAAAGTAGAATATTTTAACTCTTGTATATTTTAACTGCTTTTTACCATAATTTTTTAGTGCAGATCAGTGAGATAGAGGTGATTTCAAGTTTTTTTTTTGTGGTCAGTGCTCATAAATACACTTAAGGGAACAATGAACTTTTTAGTCTCCGATTTTTCTTCACTAAATACTTACCTGGTTGGTGAGTTTTTCTTCAGGCACTCTAAACATGTTGAGTTTTCAGAGGCTTGTCTATTTTCATTAAAGAAGAAGAAATCTTCAAGTGAAATTGTTTTTCTTCACTGTATTTTTCAAAGTTGGAAAGGAAATGACTTTTAGGAGAGAACTTTTACTGAAGCAGTTTTGAAAAAGTCTGTTTAATAAATTCCATCTATCTTGGTCAAACAATTTTGACTTTATAAATGGGTGTACTTCAAAGTTATTTTATAAGGTGTTTTCATTCAGTATTAGCTTTTTCATTATAACATTTAATGTTATAAATAAATAAATTTTCCATTTTGGTATGTATTGGACTTCTCTGTGAAGCTTATTAAAAATATCGTTTTCCAGGGGACATGGGCTGGGCAGGTGTATATTTTTTTTCTTTATTGATTTTAGAGAGAAAGGGGGAGAGAGAGAGAGAGAAACATCGATGAGTGAGGATATTAGTTGGCTGCTTCCTACATGCCCCTCACTGGAGATTTGGCTCACAACCTGGGCATGTGCCCTGACCGGGAGTCGAACCAGCGACCTCTTGGTGCATGGGTTGACGCTCAGCCACTGAGCCACACCGGCTGGGCTGGGCTGGGCAGATGTATTTTAATAAGCTTCTCAGATGACAATGGACATAGACAACAATGCTTGTGGGGTGGGGGTTGAGGACAGGATAGGGAGGAGGATGTCTGGGGAAGGGGGAAGGAGAAATATCTGTAACAAAAATAAATAAATTTAAAAACAAAAAAAAGCTTCTCATATGATATGTATGCACACCAACATTTGAGAACCACTGTTAAAATGTAGTTAGGGTCCAGGACCAATCTGTAATGGTTTATTTAACTTAACCAAAACAGCTTACTTATTTTGTTAATTAAATCACTTATTTGTATTGAAATAATATTTTGTCGACTCTCAAAAGGTATTTGAGGTACTTACAAGTTAAAAATAATGTAAAATAGGAAGTAGGAAAAAACAGACCATTTTGTAGTGGTTTTTTTTTTTTGGTACGTGCCCCTAGCGGAAACTGAACCCAGGACTCTCTGGTCTGCAGGCTGATGCTCAAACTGCTGAGCCAAACCAGCCAAGGCTTCTTTATTTATTTATATATTTATTTTGATATGTGCCCCTAGCAGGAACCAAACCCAGGACTCTCTGGCCTGCAGAGCAATGCTCCAACCGCTGAGCCAAACCGGCCAGGGCATAGTGGTATTTGAATCAGAATTATCTAGGCTGTTTTTTTTCTACAAATACACATGCCTTAGCCATACCCCATATCTTTGAATTAGAAACTCAGAGTGAATCTAGGGATATATAGTTTCAAAAATTTCCCCAGGATTTTCTGAGACACCCACTGTAAGATCTCCTGAAATAGAATAGGAGAGATTAACCTAGAAGGGAGAGTGGTGGCGTATGGAATGTGTCTGCTTTATTTATTTAATTAATCAATTAAATTTTTAATTGACTTTAGAAAGAGGAAGGGAGAGGGAGATAGGGATAGAAATATCAATGAGAGAGAACATCTACTGGCTGCCTCCTGCATTCCCCCTACTGGGGATCAGGCCCACAACCTTGGGCGTGTGCCCTGACCAGGAATCGAACTGTCGACCTCTTGGTGCATCAGTCGATGCTCAACCACTGAGTCACACCGGCCAGGCAATGTGTCTGCTTTTTGAAGTAAAGCTTGCCCCTTTTTTGAGCCAGCTGTTTATATGAAGCCATTAATTCTCAGACCATTGTGTTTATATCCCCAGGGGTGTAGAGCCACTTAAGTTGTTTAGGGGAGTGTGAAGCAATAGGATGAATGTAGGATGTCTTCTTGTGTGATCAAGTTCACGGGTATATTGTGAAATAGAATTTAAAATTCACGTGTATCTTGAAATAAAATACACTCTTTTTATTTTTTTGCTTGGGGCTGGCAACTTGGCTTATGCACTAATCTACCCTGAGATATGTACCTTTTGAGAGAGTGGAAAGATTTGACAAGGGCTGATGCAGGGATGTTTATAAGCCAGGCATGTGTAAATGGGAGTACCTGCGTAGCTGAAAGTTTTCATTTCAGAACCAAATACAGAAGTGACTTCATATTTATTTATTAATATGTATTTCTAATTTTACATCAATTTTGTATGAATTTATTCAATTTTCTTTCACTATCCTTAAAGTCTGTAAGTCCTGAAGATTCTGAAAAGAGACGCACTAATTATCAAGCTTATCGAAGTTACTTAAATAGAGAAGGTCCCAAAGCTCTGGGCTCCAAAGAAATACCAAAGGTAAGAGTGCTGGGAAGGCATGGCAAGGTCTCTGGCCCATGTGTCAGTGTATGTATTCACTAGGTTTACAGCAGCAGAGAATTAATAATTAAAATGAACAGGAAAGCCAGTCACCATATTTACTAACTAGAGGTGTTTATTCCATTATGAATCACTGCTTGATACTTAGAAAAATTTTTCTTGAACTACAAGTAGCCCCAGTAGGGCTGGGTTTTGAGGCATACTGCAGTTATAAGACTCTATGCCTTCATGGTACTTGTCGTCTAATTCAGGAGAGACCATAAGTAAATTATTATTTACTTATGATTGTGATATATGTGTGCCAGTCTTGCCTCTTATACAAAGTGTATGAAAGCCTCTGCTTGAGAGGAGGACTTTAGGTAAAGTGCTGTCCTTAGGAAGATAGTCAGGTTTTAGTGAAGATGAGGATATGGGGGCAATGTTGGAGAAGAGGTTGAGGATATTGGGTGGTTTGCTGGTCCTGCAGTGAGAGTTCTGGAGTGGAAGAGCTTGGTAGGGAGGCTAGAAATGCTGAGATTGGATAGGTAAAAAGATCTCAGAGCCATAAGGGGTGACCGATAGTTCAGGAGATGATAAATGGCGTGTGGGATAGGGACTTGCATGTCAAGTTTTATAAAGTTGTTTTGAATTTATTGACAAGTATTTAAGTACTTGTAGTGTTCAGAAGGTGATTTTAATTGCAGAATCATAGGGCTTGAAGGGACCTAGAGATGTTGTTAAACATTTTCTCCCAGCCGATTCAGATCTATCCCCACCCGCCCTAACCCACCCCTGCAAAAGATTCTTCATCTGTTGGTGAAGGATTGAACTTGTATTATGCTAGTCTTTGAATTTTGTTTGGCTGCCTTTCATGCCTCTTTTAAGTCTGTGTTCAATTCTCTATTCAAAGAGTAATAAGTAACTTTATATAATTTTCATTTTCTTTGGTTATAGCTTTTTATTGAACCATTGCAAAAATTTAAAAAATATCTATAATTATACACAGTTCCAATTAAGATTAAATGTCTCTTCCATCCAGTTTACTTTGGCCAGTGTCTTTTATATTATCAAGTTATCTTTCCCACCAAGAGATGATATGATCTTGCCTTTAAGTTATGTACAGGTTGTTAGATTTACTGTCATAGGATACACAACCAGAGGGAAGTGCAGGAGCTCAAACTTGTTTAGCTTTCAGAATTGAAGCTTTTCTTTCTTAACAATAGCAAGGTTTTCTGTGGGTGGATTGCATCTAGTTGTTTACTTAAAGTTGTACAAGTTCACTAGTAGTTTAAATATTAAACATAATGAAAATAGTATGACTGGCTAATTTTAATAAGCTTTGCTAACTGTACTGAATTTATTTCTTCATTGCTGGTTTTATAAGTTTGTTAAATGTTGGCCATATAAGAACGTCTCAGGATTTAATTTCAGCTTCTGCTTATTTGCTGTAAATTTCCAGCAAATTTTTCCTTGCTGAGATTATTTATGATGTCAGATGAGAAAAATCAACTTCCTGCAGTTTTGATGCCAAATATTTCTTTGGAAAGCTACCATGTAATTTCCTCTCTGCTTGAACATTTTGGTTTTCAGGGAGCTGAAAATTGCTTGGAAGGCCTTATATTTGTAATCACAGGAGTGCTGGAGTCCATTGAAAGGGATGAAGCCAAGTCTCTAATTGAACGTTATGGAGGAAAAGTAACCGGAAATGTCAGCAAGAAAACAAACTACCTTGTCATGGGTCGTGATAGTGGACAGTCCAAGAGTGATAAGGTGGGTGCTGCTGTATTCTCAGCACAGTGAAACAGCCTGCTTGTTTTGGCAGGCTCTTGATATGACCATTTGTAGTAATGCCCTTTACACAAAGTTAAGAGAAGAAAAAAATGGAAAAATGATTTCTTCCCTATGTTATTTCTTCTCCATGGAAGTGTTGGCTTTGATCCCAGAATTTTGGTTTTCCAATTGAAGGCACAGTTCCTGTTTACTTGACTTTTTTAGTGTAATATTCTAATTTAAATTTTTTTTGAAGATAGAAGAACTTTTTTGAAGTTGGGTTTTTTAATTTTATTTTTTTTAAATCCTCACCCAAGGATATTTTTTCATTTGTTCTCTCTGTCTGAAAGAGAGAGACAGAAACATTGATGTGAAGAAGACACATCGATTGATTGCCTCCCACACGACCCCGACCAGGGCCAGGGACCAAACTGCAACTGAGGTACATGCCCTTGACCAGAATTGAACCTGCAACTCTTTGGTCCTTGGGCCAGCGTTGTAACTGTTAAGCCAAACTGGCCAAGGCGCAACTGCAGTTTTCTTTTCAGTCCTAAGTATTGTTTTTTTTTTCCTTATCCTCACCTGAGGACATTTTTGCATTTATCTACAGATAGAGCAGGAGGGAGAGATGGAGGAAGAGAGAGAGAGAAACATTGATGCGAGAAAGAGACATCGAGTGGCTGCCACCCACACAACCCCAACTGGGGCCTGGGACAAACTGCAACCGAGGTACGTGCCCTTAGTGGGAACCGAACCCAGGACTCTCCGGTCCGCATGCCGATGCTCTAACTGCTGAGCCAAACTGGCCAGGGGCTAAGTACTCTTATATATGCCACTTAAGTATTTTATTGGAACTCTGGAAGTAGGATTGTGTGTAGCTCCAAGTAACAGAATACTCTACTCACCTTGGTTCAAACAAATAGCTGCTTATTTCTTAAGGTAATAAGAATTCCAGAGGTAGGCAATTGCTGGGGATGGTTCAGCAGCTCAGTAATGTAGTCAGGCTACATTTTCTACCTCTTTTGTCCTTATTTTGTTAACTTGAGACATTGTGCATGTTGCCTTGTGTTGATAGCTGGCTCTAGCTCCAGCTGTAGGCATTCACGTCCACATTCATGGCAGAAGAAAGGGAGGCGTGGCAAGATGTCACACTGGCCTTAGAGGAGCTTTCCCAGAAACTCTTCTTGTAAAAGCCCACCTAAGTTTCCTTGGCCAGAGCTGTCACATTTCATTCAGTGCTATGAACAAGGTTGGGAGGGAGAGGACTTTTCTGATTGTCTTAGACCGATCATAATTTATTACTTGGAGATGGACACATTGGAGTTCTGTTAGTATAGGGGAGAAAGTGGGGGGAAATGTCTGCCAGATGAGCTGATCCTGGGAGAGGGGATCAAGAGCTGGACTTAGGCCCTAGTGACTTTGCCCGTTGTAGGGTAGAGGAAAAGGTAAAGCAATCCAGGAAAGTGGCAGTGTGACACCTCAGCTACCAACTTACTCTTAGGGATGTACCTGTCATTTTCATTCTTTTTAATGGTACTTTTTCATAAATATGGCTTAAAAAAATAATTTCAGCATTATCTAATTTATAAATGTGGTTTTTTCACCTATAAAGAGGCCCTAGAATCTTTCTCTCTCTTTCGTTTTAACAGAAAGTAATGGTTAGATTATGGGTTTCTAACGGTTTGCATTTTTAATCACTAGGCAGCAGCCTTGGGGACAAAAATTATTGATGAGGATGGCCTATTGGATTTGATTCGAACTATGCCAGGCAAGAAGTCCAAATATGAAATAGCAGTTGAAGCTGAGGTTTGTGTAAAATGAACTTTATTTAAGTTGGTTTGTAGCAACTTTCCTGTTTCATAGACATTTCTTGGGTAGCTACAGGCCTGTTGGCTAAAAGATTAACTACTTCTGCAAATAAACATACTTTATTTCCTTTTGAGTAGGTGGACGCTGCTTCAGGATGTCTTCTTTGATGCATTTTCTTACCTTTTAAAAAGGAATACGAGGAGAGCGTGAGAGGACAGTGTATTGTAATTACCATATCTACTTATTAAACTTCCCATACTTTCCATATTCTTGCAACGACTTTGTGCAGAGGTTATTACTTAAGAGTTCTTTAACGGATATGTTATAGGTATCAGAATGATAAATTCATTTTTACTTAAAACTATATTAGGACTTACTCATTTGTGGTAGAAACCCAGCCTATATTAGGTTTAGCAAAAAGGGCCAAATGTTGGCTCACTAACTGAACTAAGGGCAGGGTGGGCCTGGTGTAGGATTATTGGATCTGGAGGCTAGTGCTTTCAGGGCCCTTTTAGTTTCTGTCTCTCTGCTTCTCCTAGTGTTAGCCTCGTTTGTTCCCATGTATACAGGTCTTTTCCAAGTGCAGGACACGGGTGCCAGTAGCCCAACTTTAACGTCCTCAACTCTGTTACCCAAGTGACAAGGTGGTCTGCCATTTATTCCAGTTAGAAACATCTTGGGGAATGATTTGTATTGGCTCTTCACCCAGTGTTCCCTAATATTGACAACTTACCTAACCATATAGCACAGTTATCAAAACCAGGAAATTGACATTGATACCATACTGCTAACTAAATCATACATGTTATTCAGAATTCACATTTCCCCCTATTGTCTTTTTTCTGTTCCAGGATCCCACACTGCATTTAGTTGTTGTGTCTTAGTCTCCTCCAGTTTATGACAGATCTTTCGTTCTTGGAGGAGCCACTCTTAAAAAGTTTGGATTTCTTTGATGTTTTCTTATGATTAGCTTGAGGTTATACATTTTTGGCAAGAATACTACAGAACTGATACTGTATTGACAGTGCATCATATCAGATGCACATGATGCGATATCTCTTATTGGTGATAATAATCTTGATTACTTGGTCAAGTCAATGTCTGCTGGGTTTCTTTATCAGTAAAGTGATTATTTCCCCTTGAATTGATACTTTAAGATTATGCTAATATCTTATTAATCCTCAAATATTCACCCACTAAATTTAGCATCCACTTACTGATGAAGAGGCACTAATTTTTTTTTTTATTATTCACACCACAAATTATTATTTGGATATTATTCACACACCACACAATTCATTCTTTTAAAGTGTATAAATCTGTGGTTCTTAGTATATTCACAAGATTGTGCAGCCATCACCAGAGTCTAATTCCAGAACATTTTCATCACTCCCTGAAGAAACCCTGTGCACATTCACAATCAGTCCTTGTAGCTACCCCCTGGCAACCACCCATCTACTTTCTGTGTCTATGGATTTACCTATTCTGGACATTTTATTTAAAGGAATATGTGCAATATGTAGCCCTTTGAGTCTGTTTTCTTTCACTTAGCAAAATGTTTTCAGGGTTCACCTATGCTGAAGCATGTGGCATTGCTGCATTTCTTTTCATTGGTGATAATATTAATACACTAGTGTGTGGCTATACCACATTTTGTTTATCCGTTCATCAGATTGGTGGGTGGATGGGTTATTTTCATTTTTTGGGTATAATATAAAATAACAATATATGTGTATGAAATAGAATAATGCTGTTGTGAACTTTGTGTACATGGTTTTGTGGAGGTTTTTTTTTGTTTTTTTTATCCTCACCCGAGGATATTTTTCCATTTTTTGTACAGATAGAGTAGGAGGGAGAGAGAGGAAGGGAGAGAGAGTGAGAAACATCGACGTGAAGGGACACATTGAGTGGCTGCCACCCCCACGACCACCCAGGGCCGGGGACAAACTGCAACCGAGGTACGTGCCCTTAGCGGGAACCGAACCCGGGTCTCTCCAGACCGCAGGCCGACGTTCTAACCGCTGAGCCAAACTGGCCAGGGCTTTGTGGAGGTTTTTAAAAAAATTTTTTTATTTTTCAATTACAGTTGACATTTTAATATAATATTATTTTCAGGCGTATGGTATAGTGTTTAGACATTTATAGAACTTACAAAGTGATCCCCCAGTAAGTCTTGCATCCACCTGACACCAGATACAGTTATTTAGAGGCATTAACTTTTAAAATTTTTATTTTATTTTATTTATTTATTTTATTTATTTATTTATTTATTTTTTTTTACCCTCACCCGAGGACATTTTTGCATTTATCTTCAGACAGAGCAGGAGGGGAAGAGGGGAACAGAGAGAGAGAAAAATCAATGTGAGAGAGACACATCAACTGGTTGCCTTCTATACATGCCCTTGACCGGAATCAAACCCGCAACTCTCTGGTCTGTGGGCTGATGCTTCCATTGCTGAGCCAAACTGGCTAGGGCATATTTTATTTTATTTTGTTTATGTATTTATCCTCACCCGAGGACATGCTTTCATTGATTTCCAGAGAGAGAGGAAGGGAGGGAGAGAGAAACATCAATGTGAGAGAGAAAATTCGATGGGTCGTCTCCCATACGTTTGCTGACTGGGGATTGAATCTGCAACCTAGACATGTGCCCTAACCAGGAATTGAACCCACAACCTTTTGGTGTATGGAATGACGCAACCCTGCAACCTGCCTCCCCTCTGACAACTTTCAGTCTGTTCTGTATTTAGAAGTCCATCACTGTTTTGCTTGTTAGTTTATTTTGTTCATTAGATTCCACATATGGTACTTGTCTTTCTCTGACTGGCTTATTTCATTTAGCATAATTCTTGGAGTCATTAACTTTAAATATATATATATATATTTGTTTTTATTGATTTTTTTAGAGAGGAAGAAAGAGAGAGATAGAAACATAGATGTGAGAGAGAAATTTTGATCAGCTGCCTCCTGCATGCCCCCTACCAGAGACCGAGCCCACAACCCAGGCTTGTGCCCTGACCAGGAAGTGAACCCAGGACCTCTCAGTCCATGGGATGATGCTCAATCTACTGAGCCATACTGGCCGGGCGGCATTAACTTTTAACTAGTTGGAAGACTGAAACAAAAATCTCGTAATCCATTACTCTGTTTTTTCAAACTGATATTGGATTATTAAAAAACAAACAAACATGTTTTCACTTTTAAAAATTGTAGTTAGGTGCTTTTTATTGTGTTTGTTGTTAATTTTTATAAAGTTTGGATGGTGATGATTTCCGCAAACAACGAGGTCCATTGTGAAAAGATAAACCTAGCTTGGGTAGCTTATTTGTATATCTCAGATTGTCCTGTGGAGTACATTTAGCAGGATAGAAATTCTTTATCTCACCAGGTTTCTTTTTTTCTCATTTTTACAATTTTTAAGATGAATAAAGAAAAGTCCAGATCAAGGAGAACACCCCAAAAAAATGTCCAAGGAAAAAGAAAAATTAGTCCAACTAAGAAGGACTCAGAATCCAAAAAGTGCCAACGGACTCCCAAAAAGGAAAGCACTATGACGTCAGTGAAAAAGGAAACAAGTGTGTTTCAGAGAGGCCTGGACTTCAAGGAGCAGGTGGCTGAGGAGACAAATGGTGACAGCTGGGCTAGGAATTTGGCTGATGACAGCAGTGAAAATAAAGTGGCAAATTTGCTCTGGGTGGATAAATATAAGCCAACCTCGCTCAAGACCATAATTGGACAGCAAGGTGACCAGAGCTGTGCCAACAAACTTCTACGCTGGCTCCAAAACTGGCACAAGAGTCCATCCGAAGACAGGAAACACGGTGATTTTACAGCTGCATTCATTGTTGTGTCTGTCTGTCACCATGTAATTGCCCAGTTGCTCTTATGTAAGGAAGTCTAATAGTTGGTTCATTCATCTCAAAGCAAGCATTTATTGAGGGCCTGCTCTGAGCCCAGGTGCTATACTAGAGACTCCAGAGGTGCTATTGTGAACAAAGCACAGTCCCCTTCAGTGAGCTCACAGTTGGTGGGAGAGACATATATGAACCAGCAATTAAAATCTAATGTGCTAAGTACTGTTATAGGGCTAAGTATAGGGTGTTAAAGGGATGGAGGTGTGTGGTCAAGGATGGGGCTATATGTTCCCATTTCTGGAGGAAGAGAAGTCTAAGCCAAGATTTGGAAACCATGTAGGACTTAGCTAGGTGAAGGCTGGGGGCATGGGTGTTGGATGGAAAAGAGTACATGTACCAAGATCTGAAGGTATATGAGAGCATGTCTGCTCAGAGTGCTGAGGAGAATTGGGGGAAAGGTGCGAATAGAAAGCTGAGGAACAGTTATAGATTGGGCATCCTGAAGACCTAATCTGTAGTGTATTTGCTTTTGGTAGGCCTGATGGTCCTGAGCTTCTCTCGTTTCTGTGCTTGTTCACCATGTGTTTGTCATGGAATATGAACACCCACAATATACATATAGTGTCTAAAATGTTATTGGAGCTGAGGTTTCAGATCATAAACCGTAGTCGTGTTTTCTTGAGCTTTAGTCACAGCCCTGGAGGATATTGTGTAAGAAATAAGAAGGCAAAGTTTAGTGAGCAGCACAGTAAGGTCATCATCAAAGTGGTGACTGGCTTGTTAATGCGTGTTGTCACTTGACACTGGCCAAGGATGCCAGTTTATTTTATTTATAACAGATAATATAATTGTAATGATACGGAGTTAAGTTGAAGTTGACTTGCTCTTTCCAAAACCACATAAAATGTACCCTAAAAGGGGGGATTTGTTTGCCTGGAGAAGACTTAAAGGCTTCAAGTGAACTATAGTCCCTTTCCCAGGCCTGCAGTAGATTTAAATCTTAGTCCTTGTGTACCTGTGTGTGAGCACCCTGTGTATGCCCAGAACCCTGTATATGCCAGGCACCCATGTCATAGGGGAGGAAGAATGCTGTAGAGCTGTGCAAGATAGTTGAAGACACAGCACACGGCATCTTTAATTTATTTTTTCTTTTTGTGATCACGTAAACCCATTATGCTTGTTAACATTTATCAAGGCCTGCTGGGCTCTGTGCTTGGGCACATCCCCTCCACATTTCTGCCATGCACATTACTATTGTTACCCTCATTTTATAAGGGAAGCAACAGGCTAGAAGGGTTAAGTCACTTCTGAAGTTCTCCCAGCTGGTGAGTGGGGGAGTTAGGATTAGAACCCAGGTAGCCTGCTTGACCCGTGCCTTTGTAGCAAAGGAAATTATAAAAGTATTGTTTCAAATCAGAGTTTTAAAGTAAATGAGTCTTAGTTTTTCATTTTGGGTGGAGGTGATCTAGGGAGTAGAATTTTACTAAGTGCTCTGGAAACTATTGTTTATACTTTGTGGGAAATATTCTGCAAATTTAGAACTAAAGTGGAGGACTGCCTTCTATGCTAAGTTCATGACAATTAAGCCCAAATTTCTATTAGGTAATACAGGTAACACTGGAACTTCTTTCTTCCTAACAGCAAAGTTTGGTAAATATGCCAGCAAAGATGATGGCTCTAGTTTTAAAGCAGCACTGCTCTCAGGCCCTCCAGGTGTTGGCAAAACAACCACGGCCTCTCTGGTCTGTCAGGTGGGTTCCATTGCAGTGCAGGTGGAGAGAGAATGTGGAGGGCTTGTGTATGGGATGTGCGCATGTGTGAGTACGTACGTGGTGCATATGTATTTTAACCTACTGTGTATATACTTTCCTGAAATTAAACTTTTATAATTTGCTTTGGTTTTTGGGATATTTGTCATTTTCATTCTTTTTCAAATATTTGTAATTATAATTATAGGTGATATTTGCTTATGTACCAGGCAGTATATTAAGCCTTTGGGTGCATTATTACATAGACAATATAAGTAGTCTTATAGACACAAATGTCTTATATGCCCTCCTAAGAATTTAGTGTACTGTTACCATCATATGGCAAATGAGACGGGCTTAGGAGGAGAGTGTGGCACGGTGTGAACCCAAGTATATGGGACCCTGCCTTCGCTCTTGTGGTCTCTCTGGCTGCTGTATCTAGACAATGAGAAGACAAGGCAGTAGAGCAAACCACAGTTTATGGGCATCAGAATGCTATGAAATGATCCATGGAAGGTTACCAGAATGATAGAATGAAGGACTTTAAACTTATTTTAAATTTATTGCTGGATTTCCCAACCCTTTCCCATAAGCTGGGGTTTTCGTTCCATCTTTGTTGTACGGACCAGAGCATACATTTTTAGCAGGTATAGTAACTTTGTGTTTTCTACTCTAAAAACATTAACAAATCAAAGAAATACATTTTCCCCTAGTCTCTCCAATAGTGAACATGACCTTTTTCTCCCTTTAGTATTGTCATTACCTTTTTTTGGAATTCAGTTAAGACTTTTTTTTAATGCCTTGTGATCAAGGTAATGATCAATTTTGGGAAATGAACCAGAAGAACTTAATTTTTTATGATTTGAGAGGACAATTGTATATAGGGATAACTTGACAAAGAATGATTTAACTTTATTATTTATCTTGAAGTGAAGAATTACTTTTTGGCATCTTAGATTAATTCTTTATCTGATATTGAAATCTTGGGATGGTTATATTTAATTCTTTTTAGGATTTTAAGAAGCAAACGATAAAATTGCTTGTTCCAATATATTCTTCCAGGTTAGTGATTTGTCATCTGAGGTTTTAAAACCAAATGTGTGTGTGTGTGGTATGTTATGGACATGATATTTTAAACTCATTATTGTGAGGTATATTATAGTTAATCTCATTGTCTGTTATTATCATACTTTATCTTTTTACCCCTGGTTCCTTATGTTTTTTTTTTCACCCTCTTTCTTCCTTAACTGTCTTTTTTGGAGGGGGTGGGATACTTTGCCTTGTGGTAAAGTAACAGTTTCCAATATTGTGATAGGAATTGGGATATAGCTACGTGGAGCTGAATGCAAGTGATACTCGGAGTAAGAACAGTTTGAAGGAGATTGTTGCTGAGTCACTGAATAATACCAGCATCAAAAGCTTTTATTCAAGTATGTGGCTTTTTGAACTGTTTTCTTTGGTTATGTAAGAAAAACTAGTTCATTTCAATGTTTAGTAATCACTGCTATGTTCTAGGCACCCTGCTAAATCCTGGGGCTCATGAGAGAATAAGAAAGCCTCTGATGTAACTCTCTTATAAGACAATAGTTATCTTTTTTTAAGGCCTTAGATATTTCTGAGAATGTGATAAAAATGCCTACATGGACATATTTATGTATTTTACATATGATTTTAGCAGATTCACAGGTGAATCCTGTGAAGAGGGCAAGAAAATAAATAATACAGTGTGATGAGTGAGGTGACAGAGGCCTGTAGATGAAGAAGTGATTCTATTTGGAGTATTCAGGAAAACTACCAGTAAAAGGATAACATTTGTTTGAAGGGCCTTGAAGAATGAGAAAGAGACTCATTTGTGGGTGGAAGGGATTATTTCAGACAAGAGTAGTAGGAAGAGGAGAAGACAGTATGGAAGTATCAGTGTTTTAGAGGTTGTAGCTAGTGGTCTGGTATGGCCAGAGCTTATGGGGACAAATAGATGCCCAAGTAGAGACTAAGAAGTGCATGTTTAGAACTTATGGTATACTGCATGGTCATCTGAATTCTTGGTACTTTCAGCAGTGAAAATCATTGTCAAAAAGAAGTTGCTTGGGAAACGTCACTCATACTTGGCTGGTGGGAGTGTAAATTAGAACACCTCTGCAGAGCAATCTGGCAGTATTTCTCAAAGCTAAATGACAGTCCTTTAACCCAGAAATTCTAATTCCTGGGTTCATTGTTAATATTTATATATCTGTAAAATCACATATGTCATGGATATTCACTTAGTGTGATTTATAATAGCAGAAGATTGAAAGTGTCTTCACATTTTATTAGTAGATAGAGATTAAGTAAATTATGATTCACGTGTAAAATGGAACATTACTAAACAGCCTTGAAAAATGTGGTTTCTATATCTACAGATAAGGAACAGATCATAAAAATATGTTAAATGACCAAACCAAGGTGTCTATTTTTATGCACATGTTTGGTTTAAAAAAAGTTGTTTTTTTCTTTATCGATTTTTTTAGAGAGGAAAGGAGAGGTAGAGGGATGGAAACATTGATTGGCCACCTCCTGCATGCCCCACACTGGGGATTGGGCCCATAACCTGGGCATGTGCCCTGACCGGGAATTGAACTGGTGAACTCTTGGTGCATGGGTTGACACTCAACCACGGAGCCACACTGGCCAGGCCACATGTTTTTAACATGTTTTGAATATCTCTGAAAGGATATACAAGAGTCTGTTCACAGTTTGCCTCTGGAGAGGGAAACTGGGTACCCTAGGTGGCCAGGGTGGGAGGGAGAATCTCTTTTCACTGCATACTTTGGTGCCATGTTAATTTTGTACCATGTACTGTTACCAGTTTCAAATGTGTGATATAGTTGTTTATAAAGCAGCAGTGTTTGAACAACTGTTATTTGTTTCTGACCCACCCCACTGCTTCTCAACATGGGTTAGGCGGAGCAGCCCCTTCAGCAAGCATGAAACATGCCCTCATCATGGATGAAGTAGATGGCATGGCAGGCAATGAGGACAGGGGAGGAATTCAGGTGACGAAAGCATTGCGTTTTTGCAATTTTACTTTTGATGTTTTACCAAAAAATATATAAGAACTAATTATTCTGTGATAGCTATGGCAATTAAAGTATGTTGCTGAGGAGGTTTTTAAAACAAACTGCATACATTGTGTGGTATTTTGTTTTTGCAAATAATTATTTTTGTGTTGCAAATTTGCCTTTTAGGAATTAATTGGCCTGATTAAACATACAAAAATTCCCATTATTTGTATGTGCAATGATAGAAATCATCCCAAGATTCGCTCTTTGGTTCATTATTGTTTTGATCTTCGTTTTCAAAGACCTCGGGTTGAACAGATTAAGGTATGATGTTTGGAATTATTTTTTCATCACACTATCCTATTTATTTAAAGATCAATTTCAGAAGTACCCGATAAATATTTTTAAAATATCTGATTATATAACTTTAAAGAAATTATTGAAGATTTTCCTTTGTCAATTTTAGGGTGCTATGATGTCTATTGCATTTAAAGAGGGTTTGAAGATTCCCCCTCCAGCTATGAATGAAATAATTCTGGGAGCCAATCAAGATATCAGACAGGTAAATTAAAGATATATTATATGACAGTTGATAATTCTTTTGAATTAATGCCTTCAAACTTTTGAGGAGGGGATGGCAGTTTTGTCCCATCTTGATAGTGTCCTATTTGCAATTCTCTTAGGTTTTACACAACCTGAGCATGTGGTGTGCACGAAGCAAGGCACTGACCTATGACCAGGCCAAGGCTGATTCTCAGAGAGCCAGAAAGGACATCAAATTGGTAAAATGAGTTTCCATTGCTTAGTTAATTCTTGTTGGGCTGTAGTTCCTTGACACACTGTAGAACCTGTGGATATTTATAATAAGAGATATAGAGAGATGGCGGCTAGAGTGTTTCTAACTCAAATGAAATTTTATTTCAAGGACTGTCAGTGTATAGTAAATTTTTGAGAAGGGAAAGTTTTAAATTATATATGCTTCAATAATTATAAAATGGCTTTCTCAGAGTCCTTGATGTTTAGATTTCATTAGTGTATTGAATGGCTTTAGAACTGTTCAGAATAATCTGCTTTTAATGGTTTATAGTTCAATAACCTCCCTGAAACTAGAGGTCTTATCAGTTATCTCTGTGTTCTGTTTCACATAGTTAGTACTCAGAATTTATTACAGTTAAAGCAATGATTAAGTAGTGTTTCCCTCCCCCAACACTTTAAAAAAAAAATCCTTACCGGAGGATATTTTTTCCATTTATTTTCAGATAGAGTGGGAGGGAAGAGGAGAGAGAGAGAGAGAGATAGGGAGAGAGAGAAAAAAACCATCAATGTGAGGGAGACACATCAACTGGTTGCCTCCCACACGACCCCGACCAGGGCTGGGGACAAACTGCAACCGAGGTACGTGCCCTTGACTGGAATCCAACCTGTGACTTTCTGGTCTGCAGGCCAAATTTTTTTTACAGCAATTTTAATTTCACAGCAAAATTGAGAAGAAGGTGCAGAGATTTCCCATGTATGTCCTGCTCCACGTGTGTATAGGTTCTTCTGTTATCAAATCCCTCACCAGAGCAGTACACTTCTTACAGTGGATGAATCTGCACTGACACATTGTCATCACCCAAAGTCTATAGTTAACCTGAGGGCTGACTCTTGGTGTTGGACATTTTATGGGTTTTGACAAATGCTCAATGACATGTATCTGCCATTGTAGCATACTAAAAATCCTGTGTTCTGTCTATTCATCCCTCCTCCTTCCCCCTACCTCTGGCAATTACCAGTCTTTTTACTGTCTCCATAGTTTCACCTTTGTGGAAATGTTATGTAGTTGGAATCAGCCTTTTTATATTGGCTTCTTTCACTCAGTAATATGCATTTAAGTTTTTTCCATATCTTTGCATAGCTTAATAGCTTGTTTTTTTATTTTTTTATATTTTTAAGAGAGAGGAAGGGAGATAGATAGAAACATTGATGTGAGAGAGATGCATTGATTGGCTGCCTCCTCCACACCCCCCACTGGGGATTGAGCCCACAACCTGGGCATGTGCCCTGACCAGGAATTGAACCTGGACCTCTCAGTCAGTGGGACAACATTCAGTCCACTGAGCAATACTGGCTGGGTAATAGCTCATTTCTTTTTAGTGCTAAATAATATTCCATTGTTTTGATGTACCACAGTTTATTTATTCACCTACTGAAGAGCACCTTCCAAGTTTTGGCAATTATGAATAAAATGACTATAAACATCTATGTGCAGGTTTTTGTGTGATATGACTTTTTAATTCATTTGGGTAAATACCAGGTAGCACAGTTTTTAAATAGTATGGTTAAGAGTATGTTTAATTTTGTAATAAACCACCAAACTGTCTTCCAAAGTGAAGCAATGCAAGCAAGTTCCTTCTGCTCCACATGTTTGCCAGCATTTTGTTTTGTCAGCATTTGAATATTGGCCCTTCTATTAGGTGCGTCCCTCTTTCTTTTTAGGGTCCATTTGATGTTGCCCGGAAGGTTTTTGCAGCTGGAGAGGAAACTGCTCATATGTCGCTTGTGGACAAATCAGATCTTTTTTTTTATGATTATTCAATAGCACCCCTCTTTGTCCAGGAGAACTACATACACGTGAAGCCTGCAGCTGCAGGGTGAGTGTTCACTGTTAGTGAGGTTAGAATTGGTACCCTCCCCAACACTGTGGAGGCCAAATAACTGAGAGGGGCATGTGGAGTGTGGACAGTGGTATAATCCAGACTGTTTTCTGTCTTGCAGGGGTGACATAAAAAAACACTTGATGCTTTTAAGCAGAGCAGCAGACAGCATCTGTGATGGTGACCTAGTGGACCGGCAGATCCGGAGTAAGCAGAACTGGGGGCTTCTGCCCATACAGGTAAGCACAGTGCTCTCCTCAAAGTGCAGGCTCTGCTTTCGTTAGAACAGTAACAGCTTTTAGCTCTTGTAATTATTTGAAATACCAGATAAACATTATGGCTCTTATGCAAAAATAACATCTGGTATAGATTAAAACACTGTGTGGTCACTACTGTCTATTTGTTTTTCTTTCATCATCATTTCTGTCACATTTTATTTTTATTTAATTTATTTTTGTGACAGATGTTTCTCCTTCTCCCCCCATTGACACCCCCTCCTGATCCCGCTCCCCTTCCCCCAACACACACACACAGCATTGTTGTCTATGTTCATTGGTTATGCTTATATGCATATAAGTTTTTTGGTTTATCTCTTCCCTCCGCCCCCCCACCAAAGTTTGTCAGTCTGTTCCCTACTTCTCTGGGTCTATTTTGTTCATCTGCTTATTTTGTTCATTATATTCCACAAATAAGTGAGACCACGTGATACTTGTCTTTCTCTGACTGGCTTATTTAACCTAGCAAAATACTCTCCAAGTCCCTCCATGTTGTCTCAAAGGATAAGAGATCTTTCTTTCTTATAGCTGCATAGTATTCCACTGTGTATATGTACCATAGCTTTTTAATCCACTCATCTACTGATGGACACTTTGGCTGTTTCCATATCTTAGCAATTGTAAATAGTGCTGCTATGAACATAGGGGTGCATAAATTCTTTTTGATTGGTGTTTCAGGCTTCTTAGGATATATTCCTAGAAGTGGGATCACTGGGTCAAATGGCAGTTCAATTTTAAATTTTTTGAGGAAACACTGTATTGTTTTCCATAGTGGCTGCACCAGTCTGCATTCCTACCAGCAGTGTACTAGAGTCCCCTTTTCTCCACACCCTCGCTTGATTATTTGTTGATGGCAGCTATTCTGGTAGGTGTAAGCTGATACCTCATAGTTGTTTTAATTTGCATCTCTCTGATGATTAGTGGCATTGAGCATTATTTCATATGTCTCTTGGCCATTTGTATGTCCTTTTTGGAGAGCTGTCTATTTAGGTCCTCTGCCCATTTTTTTTTTATCCTCACCTGAGGACATTTTTGCACCTATCTTCAGAGATAGTACAGGAGGGAGAGAGGGAGAAAAAGAGAGAGAGAAACATTGATGCGAGAGAGACACCTCGACCAGTCGCCACCCACACCACCCCAACTGGAGCTGGGGACAAACCATAACTGCTCTGCCCACTTTCTAATTGGGTTCTTTGTCTTCCTTTTGTTGAGTTGTATGAGCACTCTGTATATTTTGGAAATTAACCCCTTATCTGATTTATCATTGGCAGTTATGCTCTCCCATAGGGTGGGTTTCTTTTCTATTTTGATGGTTGTTTCTTTTGCTGTACAGAAGCTTTTTAGTTTGATGTAGTCCCATGTATTAATTTTTTTTCTTCGTTTCTCTTGTCTTATTAGGCAATGTATCAGTAAATGATGCCTCATATGATGTCTGAAATTTTCTTGCCTAAATTTTCTTCTAGGATTTTTATGGATTCATGAGTCACATTTAAGTCTTTTATCCATTTTGAGTTTATTCTTGTGTATGGTGTAAGTTGGTGGTCTGGTTTCATTTTTTTGCATGTGGCTGTCCAGTTTTCCCAACACCATTTATTAAAGAGGCTGTCTTTACTCCACTGTATGCCCTTGCCACCTTTGTCAGATATTATTGAGCATAATGTCTTGGGTCAGTTTCCGGATTCTTTGTTCTATTCCATTGATCTATATGTCTGTTCTTGTGCCAGTACCACATTGTTTTGATTACAGTGGCTTTGTAGTATAACTTGATATTCGGTTTTGTGAATCCCCCCTACTTTGTTTTTCTTTTCAAGATTTCTGTAAGCTATTTAGGGTCTTTTTTGGCTTCATACAAACTTTTGAAGTATTTATTCTAGTTCTGTGAAATATGTTTTTTGTTTTTTTTTATCCTCACCCGAGGACATTTTTCCATTTTTTTGTTCAGATAGAGTGGAAGGGAAAGAGAGGAAGAGAGAGAGAAACATCGATGTGAAAGGGACACATCGAGTGGCTGCCACTCGCATGACCAACCAGGGCAGGGGACAAACTGCAACTGAAGTACGTGCCCTTAGCAGGAACCGAACCTGGGTCTCTCGGGACCACAGGCTGATGCTCTAACTGCTGAGCCAAACCGGCCAAGGCTGTTGTTGGTTTTTAATGGGATTGCATTGAATCTATAGGTTACTTTGGGTAATATGGACATTTTAATGATGTTAATTCTTCCAGTCCATGAACAAGGTATATGCTTACACTTTTTTATATCTTCCTCTATTTCTGTTGTCAATGTCCTGTAGTTTTCTGCAAATAGGTCCTTCACTTCTTTGGCTACGTTTATTCTTAGGTATCTTAATTTTTTTGTTGCAGTGGTGAATGGGATTGGTTTTTTAGTTTCTCTTTCCGTGAGTTCATTGGTGGTGTATAAGAATGCCATCGATTTCTTGATGTTAATTTTGTATTCTGCCACTTTGCCAAATTTGTTTATTAAATCTAGTAGATTTTTGATGGATTCTTCAGGGTTTTCTATGTACAATATCATGACATCTGCAAATAATGACAGTTTCACTTCTTCCTTTCCAATTTGGATTCCTTTTATTTTTTCCTCATGTCTAATTGCTGTGGCTAAGACTTCCAGTACTACGTTAAATAAGAGTGGCGAAAGTAGGCATCCCTGTCTTATGCCTGTTCTTAAAGGAAATGCTTTTAGTTTTTGCCCATTGAGTATTATGTTGGCTTGAGGATTTTTCATATATGGCCATTATTATGTCGAAATATTATCTCTCTATTCCCACATTGCTAAGCATTTTTATCAGAAATGGGTGCTGGATTTTGCTGAATGCTTTTTCAGTGTCTGTTGATATGATCATATGATTTTTATCTTATTTTATTTATGTGGTGTATCACATTTATTGATTTGTGAACATTGTACCAGCCTTCATCCCTGGGATAAATCCCACTTGGTCATTGTGCATAATTTTTTAAAATATATTGCTGGATTCAATTTGCTAGGATTTTGTGAGGGATGTTGGGATGTGTAGGCAGGTTGGTGTGTATCCAATAAGACTGCTATGACTCCCAGACTGTTCTGGTGTGTGGCGCCTCTTGCCTGCAGTGGGTCCTGAAGTATTCACAACTGGTTGCAGGTATTGGTCTGTTTTGGTAGGCACTGCTGGGGTGCGTGGGTCCAGCTGGTATGCTCCTGGGGTATACTGCTGCCGTGTGGGGTTTAGGTCCTGATCAGTTATTGCTGATGCTGCTTGACGCAAGTGTCAGCTCCTGGTTTGCACTGCTACTGCTGCTACTTCTGCTGCTGTTGCGTTCAGCTACCAATCCTCTGCTGCTGTTTGGGGCTGATGATGCTTAGTTCTCGGGACTTTACTGCTGCTGGTGGAGGGACTCCATTCCAAATCCATTGCTGTAGTTGTCAGGGGCGGGTCTTGGCTTCTGGAGCCTTGCTGCTGCTTGGGCTGGGGCACTGCTCCTGATCAGCCTCTGCTGATGCTGTTGGGGATGGGTTTCAGCTGCCGATCTCCACTGCTGCTTCCTGGGGATGGATGTCTACTCCTAAGCCTCTGCCACAAGGGGAGTGTCTCGGCTTCGGAGCCTCAGCTGCTATCGGGGGTGGAGCTCCATTCCTGAGCCAGTCACTGCTGCTGTTGGGGAAGGTGCTGGGCTCCCAAGCAGGTGGTACTGCTGCTGGGGATGGTGCTCACCTCTGATCAGGCTGCTGCTGTTGAGGGTGTTGCTCTGTTCCCAAGCTGGCGGTACTGCTGCTGCTTTCGGGGATGGGCTAGGCTCCCAAGCTGATGTTACTGCTGCTGCTGTGGGGGATGGTGCTGGGCTGCGGCAGTTGCTGCTTACCAGAGCAGGCAACGTAACAGCACCGCTATTGTGTGCTGATCCACATTGACATAGCCAGGTCCACTGGTCCGATGGTGCAAAGCACACTGGTAGACTCAGGTCCCTTGGCCCTAGCCACTTCCCACTGCCTCCTCCCGGAGAAGACCAGCAGATCCTTCAAAATGGTGGGGCCTTCCAGTCAAGTGGGGAGAAGCACTCTGACAAGCTGCTTACTGTGGTAGCTGGCTGCTCCCCATGCACAGCACAGGAACTCTTTGCCCTACGTTTCTGCCGTGCTTGAGGTTGCTCGTCCACACTCACATCCACTCATTCTCTCTCTCTCACTCGCTCACACTCTTGCTCACACTCTCACACACAACCTCGCTTTGGTCCTGCCTGCCGCCATCCTTTCTTCAGCTTTTTTTCTTTTAAAACTTATCTTTATTGAAGGTATTACAGATGTCTCCCTGTTTTCTCCCCATTTATCCCCTTCTCCCTGCTTCTACCCCACTTCTGCCTTCCCCATACTATTGTCTGTGTCCACGGTTATGCATATATGCATAGAAGTTCTTTGGTTTATCTCATCCCACCCTCCCTCCCCCTTCCCTTTGAGGTTCATCAGTCTAACAACCAATTTGTACTTTTTTTTTTTTTTATCCTCACCCGAGGACATTTTTATCCCATTTTTTGTTCAGATAAAGTGGGAGGGAGAGAGAGAGAGAAAAACATTGACGTGAAAGGGACACATCAAATGGTTGCCACCCACATGACCCAACTAGGGGACAAACTGCAACTAAGGTATGTTGCAGAACCTGGGTCTCTCTGGACCGCAGGCTGACACTGTAACCGCTGAGCCAAACCAGCCAGGGCAATTTGTACCTTTTCACCCTTAACCCCAGCCTCCTCCCATCTGGCGAGCAACAAAAAGTTCTCTGTATCTATGAATCTGTTTCTGTTCTGCTTGTTCATTTTGTTTGTAGATTCATTTGTTGATTGATATGTATTTATTGCCATTTTATTTTTCATATTTTTATTGGTGTTCTCCTTCAAGAAGACCCGTCAACATTTTATATAGTAATGGCTGAGTAATGATGAACTCCTTTAGCTTTTTCTTGTCTAGGAAACTCTTGATATGTCCATCGATTCTAAATGATAGCTTTGCAGGATAATCTTGGTTATAGGTCTTTGCTTTTCATCACTTTGAATTTATCTTGCCACTCCTCTCTTGACTGCAAAATTTCTTTTGAGAAATCAACTGACAGTCTAATGGGAGCTCCCTTGTAAGGTAACTAACTGCTTTTCTCTTGCTTCTTTTAAGATTCTCCCTTTGTCTTTAACCTTTTGCATTTTGATGATGATGTGTCTTCGTATGGACCTCTTTAGGTTCATCTTGTTTGGGACTTTGTGTGTTTCCTGGACTTGTGTGTCTGTTTCCTTCAAGTTAGGAAAGATTTCTGTCATTATTTTTTCAAATAGGCTTTCAATTTCTTGCTCTATGTCTTTTCCTTCTGGCACTCTCATGATGTGAATGTTGGTACACTCGAAGTTGTCCCAGAGGCTCCTTATACTATCCTCATTTTTTTGGATTCTTTGTTCTGATTGGGTGTTTTTTGCTTCCTTATATTCCAAATTGATGGTTTGCTTCTTAGCTCCACCTTTTCTATTATTGATCCCTGTAAATTATTCTTTATTTCAGTTAGTGCATCCTTCATTTCTGACTGGTCCTTATTTATGCTCTTGAGGTTCTCACTAAGTTCCTTGACATTCTCACTAAGTTTCTTGAAATTCTCACTAACTTCATTGAACATCTTTATAACCAGTGTTTTGAACTTTGCATCTGTTAGATTGCTTATCTCTGTTTTGTTTAGTACTTTTCCTCGAGTTTTGTTCTGTTCTTTCATTTGGGGCATGTTTCTTTGTCTTCTCATTTTGGCTGCCTCCCTGTGTTTGTTTCTATGTATTAGGTAGAGTTGCTGTGTCACCTAGGTTTTCTAGGGTGGCCTATTGTAGTAGGTGTCCTATAGGGTCCAGTGGCACAGCCTCCCTGGTCACCCCAGCTGGGCCCTTGAGGTACACCCTTCGTGTGGACTGTCCACTCTTCTGTTGTAATTGAGTCTTGATTGCTGTTGGCACGTCAATGGGAGGGATTTACTCAGGCTGATCAGCTGCAAGGACTTGCTGTGCCCACTGACCACTGACCTCTGACTTCCTTGGAGGATCAGCTGTTTAGAAGCCCACCGTATAGAGCAAGACTTACTTCAGCAGAGCTCTGGTACCCACTGAGTCCACTCCTTGAGTGTGTTACTTGTGGAGGTGGTTGGGTGGTGGTGCTTCAATGTGGTCTGAAGCTGTCCACTGGGTGTGCTGGCTCTGGGGCAAGGTCAGCTTCTGCCTGTGTTCTACCTGGGATCACCAGGCATAAGCTACAGAGTGGTGTACAGATGGATGCTTCTTGTGCTGGTCTTGTAGGTGCCCAGCTGTGAACCAAGTCTGGCTGCTTCTAGTGCCAGGCCTGGGGCCAGTTAGCTAGAGGTATGGGGCTCACTGAGGCCAGGTGCAGTCTCGAAGTGGCTTCTTCTTTAATTTTGTATTTGTAGAACTTCATTCAGTTTGATTTCAGGTGGTTCTGAGTGATGGTTGTTCTGTAGTTTAGTTATAATTTTGATGTAGTTGTGGGAGGGAGCAAGACTGCATTTACCGATGCTGCTATCTTGACCGGAAGTCTCACTACAGTCTATTTCTTAAGCTGGCTTTATTTTTCAGTGGTTCAAAATATGTTTATGTAAATGGACATGTGGAAATAGGAACATTAGATTTTGGTCATAACTAAGATGTGAGTCAAAAGTTTCTGTTTTACCTTAAGAATCTATTTCTTTTTTTGTCATTCTTGCCTCTCCCAGGTGATTACTAAATGGCTTCTCCTTGAAGAAGTGCAGCCAAGGGAGGTCAGCAGCCACTTTCTGATAATAGGGATTCTGATTTTCTTCTTCCTTGCTAGAGAGGCAGCTTTGTATTGGGTACTTTATTTAGGTTGATATCTTTTACTAAAAAATAGAGTTTTATAAACCTTCATAATTAAGAGTATTTGTTTTTGTTTGAGTTTTGCATATTTATACAGTATTATTGGCCTGAGTAATAAAAAGGGATTTCTAATGGTCTACTCTTCTCTTAATCCTACCCACACCTTGTTTGAAAAAAACAACAACAAAGACTCATTCTGGATGTAAAGATTTCTTTGTATGTTTTAAAGTGTTCATTTTATAACCTAATGTGCTTTTGAAAATTTATCTTAAAGAAATAATTTTAAACACAGAAAAGCTTAATATACAAAAATATTCCCTTGAAGCATTTTTGCCAGTGCAGGACAGACTCTCCATGTCCAGCAACAGAAGAATGATGGATTATGACAAATTCTCTTGACCAGAACATCATGCCACTTTTTAAAAGAAATATACATTTTTTATTTATTGATTTTAGAGAGAGGAAGGGAGAGGGAGAGATATAGAAATATTTATGAGATAGAACATTGATTGGCCTCCCTTTTGCATGCCCCTCACTGGGGATTTGGCCCACAACCTGGGCATGTGCCCTGACTGGGAATCAAACTGGCAACCTCTTGGTGCATGGATTGATGCTGAACCACTGAGCCACATTGGCTGGGCCATTATGCCACTTTTAAAATTATTCGTAGTCCAGCCTGTGTGGCTCAGTGGATTGAGCGTTGTCCCATGGATTGAGAGGTCCTGGCTCGATTCCCGGTCAGGCCATATGCCCAGGTTGCAGGCTCAGTCCCCAGTGGGGTGCATGCAGGAGGTGGCGGATCAATGTTTCTCTCTCACATTGATGTTTCTATCTCTCACTTCCTCTGTCTCTAAAAAATTAATAAAGCATATTTACTTAAAAAAATCCTCACCTGAGGATATTTTTCTATTTATCTTTAGATACAGTGGGAGGGAGAGAGAGGGAGAGAAAGGGAGAGAGAGAGGGAGAGAAAGGGAGAGAGAGAAACAATGATGTGCAAGAAACATATCGATTGATTGCCTCCTGCATGACCCTGACTAGGGCCGGGGATGAACCGCAACCAAGGTATGTGCCCTTGACCAGAATTGAAAGTGCAACTCATTGGTCCATGGGCTGATGCTCTCGCACTCAGCCAAACCGGCCAGGGCAATAAAGCATTATTTAAAAAAATAAAATTATATGTAAAGATTAGTTAATATTAAGAAATTATGCCCTGGCCGGTTTGGCTCAGCGGTTAGAGCGTCAGCCTGCGGTCCCGAGAGACCTGGGTTCGGTTCCCGCTAAGGGCGCGTACCTTGGTTGCAGTTTGTCCCCGGCCCTGGTCGGTCGTGCGGGTGGCAGCCCCTCGATGTGTTCCTTTCACATCGATGTTTCTCTCTCTCTCTCTCTCTGTTCCTCTCTCTCCCTCCCACTCTACCTGAACAAAAAATGGAAGAATGTCCTCGGGTGAGGATTAAAAAAAAAAAAAAAGAAAAGAAATTAGCCCTGGCCGGTTTGGCTCAGCGGTTAGAGCGTCGGCCTGCTGTCCATAGAGACCTAGGTTTGGTTCCTGCTAAGGGCACGTACCTCGGTTGCAGTTTGTCCCTGGCCCTGGGTGGCAGTTACTCGATGTGTCCCTTTCACATCGATATTTCTCTCTCTCTCTCTCTCTCCCCCTCTCTCTACCTCCCACTCTATCTGAACACAAAATGACAAAAAAATGTCCTCGGGTGAGGATAAAAAAAAAAGAAATTAGTTAATTAGAATAAAGCAGGATACAAAATTTATGTATAATTACAGCCTTTAAACAGGTGAAACCCTGGATATAGAAGATATCCAAGGACACCTGTTTTTCTCAAGTGTCCGTTTGCTTGATTCCCTAATTGTTAAACTTTCCATGCTTTGATCCATCTGTGCTATCAGTATCTTATATTAAAGATAATCATATTTCTCTTAAACAAAGTCTTCTCTGTGACACAGGCATCCAAGGTAACTGGTGTGTTGAGATCACTTGATTGGGGAGGCTGAGTTGGCAAGATGATCTCTTTCAGGACCATATGTTTTTTGGACCAAGGCATTTACTGTAATGAGTTGCTTTCTCTGGGACAGGTTTCCTATACGCACAGATCAGAGACAGGGAAAGGGCCTGCCTGCTCTGGAATTAGGTATGTGGGACATTGTCACTCCATTTTCCAGAGATTGTTGGAAGCCAACAGCTGCTAAGAAAGCAACTTTGTACTGAATTTATTTACTTATTTTTATTTTAAATTTTTTTGTTAATCCTCACCCGAGGATATTGTTCCATTGATTTTCAGATAGAGTGGAAGGGAGGAAGGGAGGGAAAGAGAGAAACATTGATGTGAGAGAGACACACATCGATTGGTTATCTCTCTCATGACCCCAACCAGGTCTGGGGATTGAACCTGCAAACCAGTTATGTGCCCTTGCTTGGGACTCGAACCAGTGACCCTTTGGTCCGTGGGCTGATGCTCTAACCACTTAGCAAAACTGGTCAGGGCTGTACTGAATTTAAATTGTGAACTGCAGTTTATTATTTTTCAGGCAATTTATGCCAGTGTTCTTCCTGGAGAGTTAATGAGAGGATTCATGACCCAGTTTCCCACCTTCCCAAGCTGGTTGGGTAAGCACTCGTCCACGGGCAAACACGATCGTCTTGTTCAGGACCTAGCATTGCATATGAGTCTCAGGTAAGTGGTATTACTCCATTTCTGGTATTTTACTTTATTTTTTAATTTAATTTTAATCCTCACCTGAGAATATTTTTCCATTGATTTTTAGATAGAGTGGTAGAGAGGGAGGGGGGAGAAAAAGAGAAAAAGAGAAACACTGATGTAAGAGAGACACATCTATTGGTTGCCTTCCACACAACCCCGACCAGGGCCATGGACTGAACCTGCACCTGAGGAATGTGCCCTTGACCAGGGCTTTTCAGTCTGTGGGCCGATGCTGTAACCACTGAGTCAAACTGGCCAGGGCTCTTTGTGTTATTTTATCAGCGTAATGTATTTAACCTTTATCCAATAAGGATAGCATTAGTCAGAAGATTTATATTTTGATTTTGATTTTATTGCTAACTAGATAATGATCCTGAATAATTTTTTGTTTGTGTGTGAGCCTGAGTTTTATTATCCATAGTCATTATAACACTTATCACTTAATAGGATACTTTGGAAGAATAAAGCCAGGTGGTAGATGTGTCATAACTTTAAGATAAATTTTAAAACTATGTAACTCTGAAGTAGTGCTATTATTGTAATTGTGACCATGTCCATTACTAGTAGGCATATAAAATATCTCCGCTTCAGAATAATGTAATTGGAAAAGGAAGTTTTTAAAAAAAGAACTAGTTTTTACCTACTCTAGTAGTAAACAGACCTAGTTGTTTGGGCTAGGGAAGTGGATACTCAGATGATTGAAAACCATTGTACTTGAAGAAGTTTAAGGATGCTCAGAATTATTATTTAATACAATTTTGTTAAAGTTTAGAAACTTAGAAAATGCGCATGTATACAAATATTAAGTGAACTTTAGGGATTTATTTTTAGTCATGACTACTTGAGCAGTCTCATTTCTCTTTCTGGTCTGTGGAGGGAATATTAATATTTGGTTCATCCTTCACTTCTGGTTAAAGCTGAACTGAGTTTCTTTTGTTCTCATGAAATTCTACTTCCTGCTTCATTCCCTTTTCCTAGCTTGTGGCATGAGGCTTTTACTGCCATCCTTGAGTTAGTTTTCTGTTGCCACTATAACATATGACCAAAATTTTTCATGGCTTTAAAACACAAATTTATCCCCATCTTGAGATGGGAAGATTATCCTGGATTATCTGGGTGGACCCAGTGTAATTACAAGGGTCTCTCTCTTTTTTAATAAGGGAGGCAGCAGTGTCAGAGAGAGATTTGAAGATGCTGCACTGCCACTTTGTTTTTTGTTTTTTTTTAATCCTCACCCGAGGACATTTTTCCATTTTTTGTTCAGATAGAGTGGGAGGGAGAGAGAGGAAGAGAGAGAGAGAGAGAGAAACATCGATGTGAAGGGACACATCGAGGGGCTGCCTCCCGCACAACCAACCAGGGCCGGGGACAAACTGCAACCGAGGTACGTGCCCTTAGCGGGAACCGAACCCAGGTCTCTCTGTACCGCAGGCCGACACTCCAACCGCTGAGCCAAACCGGCCAGGGCTGCACTGCCACTTTGAAGATGGGAAAAGGGACCATGAGCCAAGGGATGGAGGCACCTGGGAAGCTGGAAAAGGCTGCTTTTCCCTGCTGTCCTCACTGTCCCGTTGCCGGCCTCTCAGCCTTCTTCCTGCTCCCTGCCCACTGCTTGTAATATCGTGCACCACTCTGCCCTTACTCTTACTGTGCTGCAGTGGATTGTGAGCACTGGACCTCGTGGTGGTTCATGGCTGTCCTTTCGGATGTCTGTTCCCTTCTCCCATTCCAGTGAACACTTGTGGTGGTAGGAACTGAGGCCCACTCACCACATAGAATTGCTGAACAGACGTTTTTAAGGAATCATATACAGGACACTAGCATCGTCAAGCGCATCTATAGTGAGCTTCTCAATTTTTAAAGTAAATTAAAATGTTCCTACTTAACTTTTAAACCTTAAGTCACTGAACTTTTATAGGCCAGGTTTCTCTTTATCTTTAAAAATGGAAAAGTGTAATTTTATTATTCTTAATTGTTTTTGGGTCATAGATGCCTTTGACAATCTGAAAGTTTTATTCTTTATTTCCCTCCAAATGCACTAATGTACAAATATAATTCCAGGGGCAGTGTTAGATTTTTGAGGATAAGAACCTTGATTTAGATGATACCTTTAGACTTTTCTAGATTTAATGTTATGTGATTTTACTAGAAGGTAACAATGATGTTGTAAATTAGAATAATTTGGGGAAAGGTTTCATACTTGTCTTGGGCACTGAGGCTTACGGGCTCATACTTGTCTTCAGGTACTAATATGCTTGATTATAGGAGACAGACTAGAGGAAATGGGTGAATTTAAAATAGGAGTGCTGTTGGAACTCTCTGCTTAGTTAATAAAACAGTTGTGGGGCAAGGTTCTAGATTTCTGATAGGAGAACTCTGTGGGTTCTTGTAATTTAGACATTCAGTTACCTGAAGGCAGGAACAGGACCCATAGGTAATTTTTGAAAGGACTTTTCATTTCCTTTTTGATTTTAATGTGGGTTCTGAAACAGCTTTTGAGGTCTCCTGTTGAAGCACATGTAGATAAAATTGCCTGGCTTGAAGTTGGAGGCAGCTGGGGTGGAAAGATTTTGCACCGCGGCATCGCAGTTATTGTTTTGGTCAGCTGATTTCTGTTCTTTAAGCCACAGCATTTAAGGAGAAAGGAAAAACATTAATTTCATGGGAACATTCTAGTTCTTAGCTGATTAGAGACTGCCCTTAAGTCTTTTCCTGGCCAGTGTGGACCACCCTGTGACTGCAGGAATTCTTGGTAGTTTTTTTAGGTTTGGGGAAAACCCTGCTCTGAAACTAAAAATTTGGGAGTAACAGCATTTAGAAATGTGAGGGAAGCATTCACATATAATCTTATATGTTATAATCCAGAGACCAAAAGGTGTTTCAGACCCTCATTAGGAAGTGGCAGGGGCACTTTGGGTAGGAAATCTCACAGCCTTTTACTGATGTTTTTAATATTTGGAACTGGGAGTGAGTAATCTTTGGCTATAAGAAGTATGAGCACATAGAAACACTGTTGTTGCCTGGGCCTTAGGAGTTGGATGAGAGCAGAACCATTTGTTTTGCATTCTCTGATCCAGGTAAGTAAAAAATTCTCTTTGCACATTGGTGTCTGTACATGACCTTGGTGGGGTAGCACTAGGCTTTCCGTACACCAGCTGTAAATAGTAGGTATTCCATTGTGCATTATTAAAAGTGGATTTAACTCTATCTGATTAATTGTTGATATGCACACTGACTTGAATTGGTGGTAGTTTGCTGTTGACTACAGGTGTGTCTGTTTTGTTTTGGTTTAAGAACTTACTCCAGCAAAAGGACTATAAACATGGATTATCTGTCACATATAAGGGATGCACTTGTACAGCCCTTGCTCTCACAAGGGGTAGAAGGAGTACAGGATGTTGTTGCCCTTATGGATGCTTATTATTTGATGAAAGAAGACTTTGAGAATATCATGGAAATGAGCAGCTGGGGAGGCAAGCCTAGTCCCTTCTCCAAGCTGGATCCCAAGGTAAATTGTGTAACCCACTGGTTCTCCATGACTTTGTAATTACTAGGTTTGTACTGGGAGTACTGCAGGGGTGTTTTACATGCTTTAAAAAGGTTTAGTTTTTTTCAGTGGTTTTTGCTTCTTATGACCCATGCTTTCCAAGTATGCTATTTGAGTACAATATTGAGAAAACACTTCTGGATTTGACTTTACAATTTGTATGTTTATCTTTGCTTTATGCTGAATGGAAAAGCAAGATGTGAAAGCTGAGGAACAAATATACATGTGTTCCTTATCAGTAAGGGTGGGCGATGAGCCAGGTGAAGTAATGTGAGGTGGTGGTACCCATTAGGAAAAGAAAGAAGTGTTTACTGGCTGAGGAGTTTTGCACTTGGTCTGCTTATTCTGTGAATTCGGTATTCCAGCTGGACAATGTTATGTAATAATGTATCCCCTACTTTCTATAATGAGCATGAAAAAACTAGTGACATGACATGAATATGCAACATCTAATACCTCACTCTTGTGCCTATTTGGTGCTGTTCTAGAAGACATATTTTCTGAGGCCTACCTTCTCTAGACTTTTGACCTAACCCAATGGTTATGGGTAATTTTTCACAGGAGACATCTGCAGGTAGAATTCATAGACTAATTCTGAAATTATTAGAAGCTCGATATTAAGGCTTTTTGTTACTTAGTATGTTGAACTGATCACTATTAGTAAATGTATTTTGTGGTAATTAAAGGCCAACTTGAATTTGTACCTTATTGTGAGCCTTTTTTGATATATTGGTTACTGACTAACTTGCTTATTACTTGTAGAACTGCAGAGAGCACTGAATAGGTAAAAATGATGACTTAAAGTGACTTTTTTTTTGTCTACCTTAAAGTTTCCAAATACTGATTCTTATCTTTTTGAGTCATGAACTCTTGAGAATATCATGAAAAATATGGAATTTCTCCATAAATACATATATATATGTACACACACATATACACACTTTCATATATATATATGCATAAGTATTTTACAAATAGTTTCAAGGGGCTTCCAGGGTCTTTCAAAGCCTTTAGGCCTACAGAGTTCAAAAGGATTATTTGGCACTTAGATTTTTAAAAAACTCCTTCCATTTCTTTTCTTTAGGTGAAAGCAGCCTTTACCAGGGCTTACAATAAGGAAGTCCACCTCACTCCATACTCACTTCAGGCCGTGAAGACTCCCAGACACAGCACAGGCCCAGCGCTGGACTCTGAGCACAGTGAAGAGTTCCATGAAGATGACTCCCAGTCTGATGAGAAAGAGCCAGACTCTGTGGAAACTGATGCTATGATCAAGGTAGTGTTTAAGCCGCAGAGAGGAGAAGCTATGATACTCTCAGAATAGTTTATCTTTTCTTATGTATAACTTCTTTCAGAAATTATTCATGGCCTGTTTAGCAAGTAGCAGACTAAGCTGTGAAAATACTTTTAAGTTTTTTTGTTCATCACAGTTTTTATAGAGGAGAAGGTATAGATCAGTCCTCACCCGAAGATATTTTTATTGCTGTTTTTTGTGAGGAAGGGAGCGAGTGAGAGAGAGAAGCATTGATGTGAGAGAAACATCAGTTACTTCCCGTACACATCCTGCCCAGGAATTGAACCCGAAACCTTTTTGGTGTATGGGATGACACTTCAACCATCTGAGCCATCCACCCGGGGCTATATTTCATTTTTATAAACAGCGTCTTACAATAGTGGAAGAGCCAAATAGCAAGAAAATAGGTTGTCATATTAATGGGCATATGTTGTTAGAAAAAGTACGATTTTTATTTATTTGATTATTGGTTTGTGCTCTACCTGCAGACACACATTTTCATGGTACAACCAAGAGATGCATTTTCAGTGAAACCGTTTCTCCCTTCTGTTATTTGTGTTTTGCTATAGCCATTGAACTGCCTGTAGTTTTTCAGAGCAAAACATCTGTCTCTTTTGCTAGAACAGATTAAACTCATTTGTGGTATCAGCCCACTGTTTGCCATTGGCTGAGGCAAAGGAATGTAGCCTGTATTGTCCTCTATCCTGAGCATATGATTCTTGCCCTCACTCTTGTATGTGCAGGGGTAGGGATAGCAGCCTTCACCAGTGTAGGTCTCCCTCTCTAGTCAAAAAGGTTGTCTCCCCGTCTCCTCAAACTGAATGTGTTTAGACTCTCAAATCTGAAACTGAAAGTCTTTCCCTGTTTGTAAACTATGTCTTTCCTAAATATACCTATGTTTTAAATCCAAGAAACTGCATACATAGGGAACATATGTTAGTTCTAGATTCTAAATAGCTTTTTAGTTTTTACTGCTATCTTTTAAAGGCTACTACTAGCCCAATTGTTTCTCGAAAGTAAGCTCATCAGGGGAAGCAGTAAAGATAGAGATATGCGCAACCTTTATTAAGTAAGTTGCAGGTAAAGATTTATTGTAGAGGTGAACTTCATTTATTTATAAACACAGCTATTAACTATTTTGTGCATCTTTCCCTTCCAACAGAAAAAGACAAAATCTTCAAAGCCTTCAAAATCAGAAAAAGATAAGGAGTCCAGAAAAGGAAAAGGAAAAAGTTGCAAGAAATGAAACTGTTTTTACTACTGACAGTCCCTTTTACTCACCCTGCTGGCCAGTCTAGCTGGTCTAGAGGATGCCTTGTTTTTCCCAAAGGAACTGTAATAGGGCGACGGAGTGGTCCCATTATAAATAAAAGGTGGTACAGCTAGAAGGATGTAACCGGTAGGCTAATGTACACCTCTTATAGAGGTTGATAGTACTGCTTGGGTCCTCCATTGTCCCTGTCAGTCTAATTTGATTGTGCTTCAAAATGACTGTGTATAATCAGAATTAGAAACTACATGTGGGCTTTGGAATTAGATTTTATTTAACAATAATATGCCTGAGAGTGGTACTAAGGCAACTTTTGTAAGCTTAACAGTTTATCCTAATGGCCTTTATAGGACCAATGCTGACTTTTTTAAAAGATAGTTACTATTATGTGGTGAAATTTTGTAAATAAATCAATACAAAACCATCACCACCTAGAACTGGGTATCATTTGTACATTGTCAAATATCTTGCAATATATAAATTAGGAATAAAAATGTTCCATATGATACATGTACAAATTCTTAAGATTGCCATCTTGTACAGTAAAATATTATGTTGTTATATGACTTTCCTTATTAATTTGCAAATGATTGGGTAAAAAAAGTTAATTTTACTACTAACCGGTTGTGTGAAACATAACAGGCAGTCGAAGAGTCAGAACTCTGACTTCACTGCACTGAGGCTGAGCGCTGAGCACACCCCTGCTGTTGCTGGAGGGCCTGGCCGGCTGCAGGACTGCTTGTCCCTGCTGTCTCAACCCCGCTTCAAACCAGTGTGGCCTGGGCAGGGTTAGACTTGGCCTCACTCGGGCCTGGGATGATGTGAACACTAGCTTTTGTTTAATTTGTCCCTGGGAGATGGGTCAGACCTGTGACGGGTTCCACAACCCTACTGGAACTTCTGATTGTAACTATGGTTGTTGAGTGGCCCTGAGGCTGTGGAACTGGCCTGAATTTAATCTTGTTAGTCGATGCTAAGAGGTCTGTGCTAAAAGGAAGGTAAAATCAGGATACTGATTCCTGCCTCCAAGGAACCGAGTCTTGTTTGGAAGGTGAGACTACATTTAGTTTGTTTACTGTGTGAAAAATGTACTTTCATGTAGATTAAGTTCATTGTGGGAACAAAACATGGCCTTGGGCTCTTGAGCCTGCCCTTCTCTTTGTCAGAGCCTGGCTGGGGACTTCCGCTCGGTGCAGATTTCACTGCCTCACCCAGCCAGTGGGAGTGAGCATGAGTTTCTTACGCATTTTCTTCTATTTCTGCTGCTTTTGGATATGCAAGTTATGTCTGCCTACTTGCTCTGTACTCCCCAGCAAAGGGACTAGAACAATGAATAGTGTCCTTTATGATTTTAATTATAAATGCCTTTTCTTTTAGAATTAGAGATTGTAAATGTGCTCTTTAAAATATAAGGATGACAAGCTGGGTCTGATTCCGTGGTAGGTAGGAGCCGGTGGATCCTTAGCAGTCTGGGTGTGAATCTAGGGGACTGCGTTGGGGTCGTATCCTTACTGGAGCCACACACCATCTTCGCAGCATAAACTGCTTACTTGCTTTTTTGGGAGATGCATTGCATGTTGGCCATTTTGTAATCTGTAACAAACTATGTCCTCCATCTTGTTAAAATTTGGCAGTTCATGAATAAGGAGTGCTTTGTTGAAGGTACCAGGAGGAGTATCTTCCTAAATAAGTTCTGGTACAATTATGCACATGAATGAATGTCTGAGGCCTGCACTATAGTGTATTTACCCTCACAGATCCCAGGTCCTCATAACATCCCCAGGGGTGAGTCGTAGGTAAGGACTCGTGTTGCACCTCCTCGGAAGGCCTCTGGAGGGGAAGAGATCGAACGCTGGAAGCACGGTGCATGCGGATACTTGGACTGTCCCCTGGGTTTGCAGGTACCTCTAGTGCTCAGGATGTTGGTAGCCGTGCTGTAATGTCATGTCATCTGGTACATTCAAGGTCAGGCCACACTGGCCTTGGGTGGCAAGGAAGCATGTAGGAAAAGTGTCTTGTGTCTGAGATGAATGTGGTGTGTGATATGGGGAAGGAATGCTGTGAGCACCAGCACCTTGGGGAGGATTCTGGATAATGTATGTCTTCAGGGGAAATCAAATGATTTATTTAATTTTGTGACAAGAATTCCATAGTATGCAGTGTAATGACTCAGGACTCTAAAAGGGCTATAAGCTTATAGTTTCATTCTCTTAAACAGAAACACCAGAAATCACTAAAATCAAATATTTAAGGACTGATTTTGCTGAATAGCCTTGATTTGTGTAAACTACTTATGTCAAGCTTTTAACTGTTAAAATATGCTGCCCAAACTGCTTCAAAGAAAGCTCCTTCCTTTCTGTCTCCAAAGCCAGAGAACATTACAAATATCTAGTTAACAACTTTATTGTACAGGACATACTTCAAAATACAAAAGTTATCAAAAAGCTGAATATTTACAATTATATCAGATTACTATTAACAGTACAGGGCATATATGTAAGACACTGAAGAGGAAATATATAGCATGTAATGAACAGCAATGTCATGTTACCGTCTTGTCACTCAATAGAAGTTGAAAGGGTGATCTGGAAAGGTCACCTTTGATTTTCTTCTGTGTCCAGGAACGATCATCTCTAAATCCACCAAAGGTACAAACACAGCCTCCTATGGAAAAATGCTGTCTTCTCAGGAACATACCTAGAAAGCACAAAAAAACAAAACAACCCGTTCCACGTGCCTTTAGAAGGGTAACAGCTGGCATTTAGTAGTAGACATTTGTTTGCTCGTTTATGGAATGTGGAGCAGGGCACTGCATTTCAGTCTTGCAACTGACTGAAACCGTGTGGACCTCTATTATGAAATGAGGATCATAATAGCCATCTTACTGGGGAGAATGAGAAAATGCAAGGTAAGTGCCCAGCAATCTGTAGAGAAAAAACTTCCCTGAAATGATATGGTTGTTAAGGAGTCAGTGAACAATAGCTTCAACCAATACTCGCTGTATAAGAAGATATTTATAGTGACTTTTGCAAAAGGTCGTGCATAATCAAGCACTGAGGCATAGCTGTGAGCAGCTGGGATACCAGGGTCAACATGGAACTATTAAAAACACAAACAAGGTTCTGCTTTTAGAAGCGGCAGAATTGCAAAATTAATCCTCCCACAGGTAATATTATATTTTGACCTCATTTTGTAACTAACTGGAACATCCAAAAGTGTGTAGAAATTGGGGAGGTGTCCTCTTGAAAGAACGCTACTGAGTAAGATCTTTACATGGCTTTTCATCCTGGGGCAAGTCCATGAGGCGTGGCCTGGCTACACTTACACGGGGAAGTCCTAGTCTTACTAGCTCGAGTCAGCAGTTTGGGTGCCAGAACTAAAGTGTGAAGGAGACTATCCAGGAAAGCACTCTGCTCCCAAATTCACATATAAACTTCATGCAAGTTCTTGAACTTCACAGGCTTGGAAGAGACTTGTGTTTGACTTGAAGGAGCACCAGGTATTGGAAATGGAGGGTTGCCTCTAGGAGCGTAGGGCCTCACGTCCTCTGACCATAAAGAATAGAATTCTACCAACAAACAGGTTGGGTGAAGACTGAGCCTCAGGTGAGATTGCAGCTCCAACCACCTGCAGCCTTGTGAGGCCCTGAACAGAAGACCCAGCTAAACCATCTTTACACTCCAGACCCACAGAAATTGTGAAGGTAGATTGTGGTTCAAGATGGCAATGTAGGAGGCTTCCAAACTACTTTCTCCCCCAGGCACAGCAAATCTACAGTGACACATGAAATAAATCCAGGATCTAGCCAAGTGACATCTGCCCATCAGGTGAGTGAGAAAACCCCACATTGAAATGGGTAGGAATCTTGACACAAATCGTACCCCTGACAAATTGTCCCATGATACCCAGCTTCTTCCTGAGGAACAAAGGGTTTGGGTCGGTGCTCTGAGTTTTAAGGCTTCCACTTAGAGACACCCTCCCCCCCCAACATCTAGCTCTGAAAGGCCAACAGGTCTTGCATCCATGAAACCTACAACTAAGAAACAGTTCTAAATGGGATTGCATGAACCCACCATGTAAAACCCAGGGCCAGCACAAAGGCAACAGACTGAAATGCATCCAGTCTTTCTGCAGCCTTTAATATACACATAGGGGCCAACTACCACACTCCCCAGAAACTGGAGGCTGGCAGTCTTCCTCCTCTCCATCTGCCCTGACCATGGTCTCTGGTATCCCCCATAAAAGAGCTTGTATACAAAGCTGGTGCTCTGGTTTTTGTTGCTGCTTTCCAGGGGACACCCTTTAATTGCAAGGCTTACTTTCCCAGGTCCCCCTGGACTGTAACAAATAGAGCGTTTTTAACCTACCATCCCCCCAGGGCTTGAGCAGGCAGCAGACAGAAATGCTTAATCTTTCCAGGAGGAGGCCTCTTTGCTTATCTTAATAGCGGTGGCCTGAGGGCCCAATTTTCACTCAGCCCGAGTATAGGAGCTGACTGAGATCTTGGCATACTCTCAACTACTGGGAGCCACAAGAACAAAGAAGGCTACTCAATCACAAAGGTTTGAGAGACCACCCAGACCTGGTAGGGTTGAAGAAGGTTCTGTCCCTACGCGAGAGCACTCCATGACAGGGAGAGGTGGATTTTTTCTCTCATGCATAGACACCAGCACAGAGTCCAGGAAAATGGGGGTGGGGGGGGGGCGCACCACAAAAATAGGAACATGTTAAATGAAAGAACAATGTAAAAACCTCAGAAAAATAGTTGAGCAAAATGGAGGTACGTGATTTACCTGGTAATTAATGGTCATAAAGCTGCTCCCCCAAGGTCAGGAGAACAATGCATGAAGTGAGGATTTCAACTTCAACAGAGATACAGAAAATGTAAGAAAGTACCAAACAAATCAGAACTAGCAAGTATAATAACTGATCTGAAAAATACAACAGCAGAAGAAAGACAGCAAACTCGAAGGCTGGGCAGTGGAACTTACCCAATTAGAGCAGGAAAAAAAGATTAAAAGTGGCATGATATATTCAAAGTTCTGAAACAAAAAGACTGCCAACAAAAAATACCTGGAAAAGCTAAAGGAGTCTACCACCACTAAACTAGCTTTAAGTCCTCTTGACATTTATTGTAAGTTGAAACAAAAGGGCACGAGTTAACAGTACAACAATGAGTACATCTCAGTGGTAAAGGTAGATACATAAATTCAGAATAACTTAATGTAATGGTGGTAGGTCAATCACATCTGTGAAGGTTAAAAACAAAAGTAGTAAAAACTATAACTATAGTAATTTATTAAAATATACAAGATGAAAAGGTGCAAATTGTAAAAGAACTCATGGACAACATGAGTTCTGCAGGGGGAGGGATCATGAGTAGAAGTTATAGGGGGTATAAATGGTGATGGCAAAAAGAAAGGATGCCAATTGTGATATCCAAAAAAACAATGTGTGTGGGGGAGAGATCTTTA